TGATAATTTGATGTAAATGTAAATGAAGGACAGAAGCGGTGCTACCATTAGGCAAAAGGAGGCGACTATTTGGGCTCCTAACCAATTGCCCTCAGTGCCACTAATGGCTGAAGCCTCAGATCATTTTGATTTTCTCTCAATATGACATTAAATGAGAGTAGTTTACTTTTAAACAATAATCATAAGCAAAATAATAATAATAATAATAATATCATCATCATCATCATCATCATCATCATCATCATCATCATCATCATCATATGTAATAGATGTAAATAAAAATGTAATTGTAACTAGCAAAAAATAATAATAATAAAACAAGTTTCCAATCCACCGTGATTCAAATAAATAGAGATATGCATGTCTCAAAAATAATGGGGAAAACAGACAATAAATATGCTTTCAAAAAAACAAAACAAACAAATAATGGTGCATTATAATGAGGGCCCCAAACTAAAGTTTGCCTAAGGCCCCCAAATTACTAACGCTGCCACTGTTGAAGGACAAATCATTTATACACAAAATTCTCAAAATCTGGTATTTTCAAAGGATAGATAAAAAATGACAATAACAAAATCATATCTCAAGAAGCAGAGCATGAAACACAAATGTTCAAATCATTTAATATTGTCAACATCAAGCTTCCGTTACTTAGACTTAGACTTAGACAAACTTTACTGATCCACAAGGGTAAATAAATGGAAATGAAATAAATGGTAATAATAAATTCTAAATAAGTAGCAAAAAAAGAGAGCAAGAGGCAGGTGTCACAAAAAGACATAATTATATAAATGTATATGTACAAGTCAAAATAAACTAGAAAAATAAGTAATTAAAAAAAATATATAAAGTAATAAAAAGTAAATAATATTTGTTGTCTTACTCAGAATGGGAAGAGTAACCAAAACTTTTACTCAAGTAACCCAAATCTGAAAGGTAGTAAGTAAAATTAGTAGTAGCAAGTATCATAATAGTCCATTATTAATTCACTCTCTTCCTCTGTAATCACAGCTGCCCCAGGACTGACTAACAATGGCCTCTACAACCATCACCAATCACACACATTCACACAGACAAAGTGGGAGAAGTGACTTGCCCAAGGACACCACAACAGGATTAAAGAGGGTGTAATTTTTTTCTCTTTTTTAAATGTTATGTAATAAAATCAGTTTTGTTCTGGCACATATTGTAAAAGCAGCATTTAGGATTAAAATCAGACTATTGAGCAATGTCTGCATCTAATTATAAAGCAATTTTACTGATCACAAATCCTTAAGTAATGCTGGTGCGCTGTTATCATGCTAGTTGTTGTTGTTGTTAGTGTTCCAAAACTCCACTCTGGCTTCTGAAAGATGGGAAATGCACTTATAAAGTCATTTTGGTGAAGAATTAGGATTCTAGTGATGCATTGAGAAGAGAAATGGGTCTGGACTGCTGCAAACTGTTTCAAAACATCTACTTCTGTTTTTCACCTTTTTATGGCAACAAAAATCAAGTACAGCTCCTTAAATAGACTGAGGAATTGAACTGACAACCCTCCAGTTATAAGCCAACCACTCTACCACCTGTGCCACTATTACCCCAAGATCAGTGCAGCATAGTGGCGGTTGTGTTTATAGTCTTGTTCCGAAGTTTATTTCTATTTAAAGTTGTAGGCTAAACACATTTGATTTTAGTTTAGTTAGTAGTAATATTATTTAGTTTTCTGATAATGTACAGATGTTTGGAACTTCATCCCCATGGAATACTTGTGTGATTAGCAAACTGGATACACATGTTCTTGTAAAACCCAGTTCTATATGTTTTGTATTTACAGACAAAAGATCCTGAAGTCGCCTAAAGCCAAGAAAACAAAGTAACAATGATCCGCTGTACAGGCTGGTAATGGATACAGTATACTAGTAAGAGCTAATAACATGTGCCCACACAACTTCAAAGTCTATAAAAGCCAGGTTCTTTCAATTAGGACTCACCCCACGATGTGCTGTTCCTCTGCAGCTGGACCCCCTCCTATCTCTGCCTGGGATCGGACACATGGGACCCCTTCAGTGGCCCCTCAGGGATGTGCTTTAGAGCAGGCCACAGGTTCAAAGTGCTGGAGAGGTCTGTGCAGAATTCAGCTGTGGATCACAAACTACACTCAGTAACCATGTTTGTACAGAAAGAATTTGTTTTTGTTTTTCTAATACAAACAGAAATATTAGCTCATGTTCAGCTCCCTGCTGATGTGGATGACCTTTGACAGTAATTGACAGAAAATATTGCCTTTTTAAGTAAACAATGTAACACTGGAGCTACAAGAGAGAAATTGTCAAATACAATCAAAATTTTGGACCCACCATCTCATTCAGTGCTTTTCTTTCTTTGTACTTTCTATATTTTATACACATATAGAAGACATCAAATATAAGATGCAAGATAAATGAAATTACTATGTAGCAAAGAAAAAACTTTAATAACCCTACTAAAAGTAAAAAAAGTAGCCATCATTAGCTTTGATGAAAAATATTTAGTTATATTTGAGTTTTTTTCTTTGCTGCATGTAATTCCATATATCTGGCTTCATATATTTCATGTCTTCTGTATTTATCTAAAATGTAGAAAGCAGTAGTGTATATCTATAGCCAGGCTGGCACCACCTAGTGCCTCCACTCAATTTCATTTCTCTCAGCAACTAGGTCAGGAATTGGAACACATGGTTAGCAAAAAGTGCAAGTTTGGGCACCAGCCAATCAGTGAAGAGCCATACATTCTGCATTGTCAACAATTCCCGGGATCGAGGATTTAAAGCCAGAACGAAGAGAATTGTTTGGTGAATTTTATCAAGGGGAAAGACGTTATTGCCCTTCTTCCTACGGGATTTGGGAAAAGCTTAATATACCAGTTAGCCCTGTTAGCAGGCACATTACATATGTCACAACCAAATAGCAGTGATTGGTTAAATTAAAAAAGTACCCGCCTACCATCGAACGAATGAACCTTAATGCTGCGAGGTCAGACAGTTTCAACTAAGTGAAACCGGCTGACGAATCAGGCTAGTATATCTATGCCAGAGTAGCCGAATTCACATAATACAAATTTTTCAAAGTTACTCATGGTTAACGACAGACGTTGATAGGATCTTGATGTAAAAATCACAACATAGTGACTAAATCACTAGCACTTACAGCGAGAAGGCCACAGGTTCCACTCCCGGGTCTTCCGCAGGATCTGGATATAGGTTCTCCTAGTGGCACTGGTTGAGGAATGTGTCAAATTCAGAAGTATTAATATGGAATTAATAAAGTATACTTACATCTGCGTAATCTCTCAGTCGCCCAGGATCCAGATCTGTTTTTTGAGTGAAAAAAAACTTTTTTCTTTTGCTATATGTCTACTTGCTAAAACTACAGTACAACTAAGACTGAGAATTACTTTAAGGTGTTTGAATGTGATGACTGATATTAGCTAGGGTTTTGTTCACATAGTATCAGCTTTTGATCTCAGATCCAATAGTCCAAATTAAACTTTTATTATAACTTTTTTTAAAGTTAACAATTTGCAAATGTTCACATATTTTCAATCAGGATGGAGGAATCATTATGGAGCCCACTGTAACAATTTTGATACAAACTATAGTAAGAACACAAAGGGAAATAAATCCTCAAGAGAACACACAGAACAAAGGCAGTGTCTCTCCAAAACTTTGCATCCAATGTCATGCAACTGTGTTATATTATTAAAGTGGTACAAAGAACACATATGGATATAGTTATGAACATGGAGAATATTTAGTCTCTCTGCCAAGGGACATTGTCAGAGTAGATAACCATCAAAAATCGATTTGTTTGTTGTCCATATAAGGGGATAGTAAAAAATCCAGGGTTAAAAAGTTCATATAAGGAGATAGTAAAAAGTAACTCAGATGAACAGACATCATTTTAACCCTCTCAGGCTCAAATAAAGTTTTAGTAGCAGGAAAAAATCTGATATTTGGGGAAAATGATCATGTGGGGTAGTAATATACAATCCTGACTTTTTTTTTTGAAAGAGACCTTCACATCCAATGCGTTCTGGGATGTTGCAGATTTGCAGCATTGACCTGGTATGGTAAATTAACACTGAAGACTGAAAATGATATGAACGCTAACTTTATGTGTATACCACTTTTCATAACAATGAAAACATAAAAAACAGTGTAACAGTGCTTTACAGTGGCAGAACAACATCACTTTTTCATGTGGTGCTCCAAGAAACAATTTTTATCCTTTGTAAAGAATAAAAGTACTTTGCACTTCTGGCAGGCCATTTGTGTGTAGCCATTCTTGCACAGTCTGCATTGTCCACGTTTATCAGCATGGATGGGAAAAAAGGCTACTGAGTAAAAAAAGCTCATAAAATATGGATGTGGAGTAAGTACGTAATTGGCATTTAGCTGTTGCAAATCTGCAATGCTTGCCTGAAGAGGGTTAAAATAACCAAGTAACTGTTTTTGAGGTTCGAAGCATGAAAAAAGTGTTATATCCAGTAATTAGATATAGAAATTTAGGCCTATAGATCTTATTTTACCAGTGTATTCAAATTATGCAGCCAAGTCCTTCCCATTCATCACAACAAGGCAGCTAATTAAAATCATTAATTGGAGGCTTTTAGACAGTGGAAATTAATGGCTATTGTTTTATTTAGTGAGGTTACATCATTACACTTGATTAAAGAACAAAAATATATTTCAAGTTTCTTTGGCTGAGGTTAAAGGGTCCATTTCTGATCTAAGTTCCTCATCACAAACACATGAATTGTGTTTTGTTTTATTCACACATGTTTAACACACAAATCCTGCTTTTTTAGGCTGAGTTCTTCACTAAATAATACTTAATATGGATGAAGGACAGCTAAAATGGCAACGTTAAAAGCCAGATTAGGCTGTTAAAAATTAAATGATCAGGTTCAACATATTTAAAACAGAATACTTAGAATAGAATAGTTTTTGCTATTTTTCTTTTCTTCTATTCTGGTCTATATAAATGAAAAAATAATATTAAAAATTCAGGGTACGCTTTGATGCAAACCTAATGACCTGTGTGTTACTTTTCCTCAGTCACTCATCAAAGCTCTTAGTTTGACTGACACCCACAAAAACACAGAACCTCTCAACCAGAAACTACAGGGTTCACTTCACATTTGACGTGAGCGTGAAACATCTGCTCCTGTTTACCACCAACACGAGACAAGAGCTGATTTTTACAAACATTTTTCTATGAGACATTTATTAAATCCACATTGTAGCGAGTATTTGGCACTGGGTCAAGTCTATAACAAAACAGCTATAGTGCTTTTTTATGCTTTTTCACCATCCTTAATCCTCACAACATGCACAATTTACAACATATACAACAACCTTGAGTTTTTTATGAAAGAAGAGAAAATAACATTCTTCAAATTCTTCATTCTTCAAACAATTAATTGGAGGCTTTTAGACAGTGGGAATGAATGGATGTTTTTTTTTTTTTTTTAACTGAGATTACAGCATTACTTTTGATTATAACACACAAATATAATGAGTCACTTTCAATTTTCTTTGCCGAAAGGTTAAAGGGTCAATATTACACTGTTTTCTGATCTGTTATAATGTTGTTTTCTCATCACAAACATGCCTGGAGATGTGTTTTGTTTCATTCACACACGTTTTACACACAGATCCTTCACATTAGAGTTCAAACTTTCAAACTAACATGGCTAAAAGCTCACAGGAGTCAATTTTATGTAATACAGGACCTTTAATCCTCACAGCACGTGCAATTTACAACATTTATAACAACATTCTTTCTCAATAATTTGTGCAATCTGGAAAAAAGATTATGAAAGGTTTGTTTATTGAACTAATGGGTAATTATAAACATTTGGGCATTTGTTAGACAGCAGAAATTAATGGCAGTTATTTCATTTGGTAAACATGACATTATTTAATAGCTGTCCAATCTGAAACATCAGTATTCATTATATTAAGTGGACTAGATCAGCAGACACAATTACACACTTTTTGCTACATAAAAAGCAGTAAAAGAAATAGAATAAAATGCTTACAGATGTGCATTTTTTTTCTTTTTGGTGGAGGACCTGCCATCTACATACCTACACCTACAAATGTTCCACAGCATGACCATGAACATATATATCTCCATGGAAACAAGCAAGTAATAACGCCAGGGCAGGTTACAGGTCACATCTGTGGAGAGGAAACCCTAAAATAGTAAGATTGCATGTTTATCAAGGTATTTTTGAGCAATAAATAAATAAAAATGCAAGATAGATTCCTGGAGAAATAGTAAATGGTCACATTTTTATATAGCGCATTTCCACTTTAAGGCATCAAACTGCTTTATATCGAGGAAACACTCACCCATTCATACACCAGTGCAGGCAGACACAGGGGGCGAGGTGGGTTAAGTGTCTTGCCGAAGGACACAACAACAACTTTAATGTTTGGGAGCAGGAATCCCACAACCAAGCTGTGCATCAGTGGATGTGACTGTTCAACCAATGATGTTTATGTTGAGAGCGAGATTCAAACCCCCAACCTTCAGGTTAGTGGACAAACATCAACCAAATGAGCTACTGTTACCCACAATAGAGAAAGGAAGATGGAGGACACACCACCAAGAAAGTTACATAGTGCTTCTTTAAATAGTAATGATGTACTAGAAATGTATAGAATCAAATTGGGCTAACTATGTACATGATTTGTTGTCAGACACTAATTCTTACATTTACCAAAATAGGCTAAGGGGCAAGTTCACACTAAGTGCGTACACATGCCACAGTATCCTGGTTACTATTGGAATATCCCAGCTACAGTATCCCTGTTTCTCTTGACTGGGATACTGCCTTATTCAGGATACTGAAACAGGGATACTGCGTATACATGCACCCTGATGAAACCGAGATACACAAAAAACCTGATCATAACCGGGATAATGATGTGCACGTACACTCACTCACTGAAAATCCCCTATTTTTATGGTATTTTTGGATAGTTATAGATAGCAACTATAGAAGTTCAAAGTTCACCAACTACATATGAAACTTGTGGAGTGATGTCTTCTGTAATCCTGCTGTGGATCAGGGTTGTCCATGATTCTCTATTATCTGATCCATTTCTGACTTTCTTTCTCTGGAAACAAAAGAGATGCAAAAATAGTCCATGATAGAATTCAAATGGTAACTTCTGAATTATGAAGTGATGGAGAAGCGTTTAATTTGTGGTGCACTGTAAAAATCTTATATGTAGTTTATTGGCCTTATTAATTGTGTTTTTTGTGACAGTCTTGTAAAACAGATCCTCATTAGAGATACAGGCTTTGGGTGTGAGTGACGAGTGTAGCTCTGACCATTTTAAATGAGAAAGGAATGGTTATATCACATAAAAATCTAAAATTCAATAAAACTCCAATATAAAAATATGTTTGACACTTATACATTGTCTTTCCATAAAATCCTATTTGGGAATAAAGTTGGATTTTCACAGAAGAAAACCTGTTGTGCTTGTGTCTCCTATAAGGTTATAATCTATGACACTCGTGGATCATTATGTTATTATTTGGACATTTTAAATCACAATAATCATCTAAAAAGACTTGATGAAACAAACCAGTCCGCTGACATCCATGTTAGAAAACTGTGGTGCCCATTTCGAAATGACATTTCCATGAACGTCACAATAAAAAGTGATGTTGTTGGCCCCTGTTATGGATAGCTGCACATCAGACTAGCGAGTATCAGATTTTTTTTCCATTTGTACCAAACTATGCAATGCTGCCAAATACTATGTGTATCATCATTAAGTAAATAATATTATTATAATATTAAAGATTCTTCAAACAAGCATGCTCACTCAAAATCACTCCAAGTACAACTTCAGAGCGAAACTGATAAGTGGAAACATCTATAACGTAGTTAAAAGCTCTGAAAAGTTGATTTTGAAAATAGGTCTGCTTTAATCCAATTCTTAGTTAGTTATTCTTAACTATACTATACTATACTATAAACAGAATAAAATGTTTATTTTTTATGTGGTCATAAGAAGTTGTATATGCTTACACCTGACCACCAACTTTTACGATCAAATGAGATCAAGTGGATATTCGATAAGCAGAATTTCAAACATACAGCATATTCTTTACCCTATAACTCATCTTATCCTTAATCTATCATGTCCAATGTTATCAGATGTATGAAATTACCTATATCCCTCTTCATTTAATCTTTTTATCTTTCTGAAATCTCATCTCCAAGTCCAGACAAAGCCCCCTATGGCGTTTGATGTGTCATATACAGATGCAGCAGAGCACAGTGGCTCAGGGTGTAATGACTTTCCTGCCCTTGTGGTGAGTGTGTTTAAACCTGTTTGAACCTGCTGCTCTCTCAGATGTGGAAAGTACCCCATGAAACAGTAAGGTAAGGCATACTGAGGATGAGAAGTACTCTATAGCTACTACAGAGCCACTATGCAACTGTGTGAATTTTGTTAACGTATTTTTAAAGAAAATGCCAAGATGTTTTAGTCAAGATGTAGAAAATTAAAATGTAATAATAAAATAATAAAATGAAATAAATATAACCATAAAACCATAAAATGATGATATAATAGTTTAAGTATATAAATAATATGATTCATGTTGTTGTAAAATAAACTGAGGTATCTCAATAGTTGGAGAAACTTCACAAGTTACACTTTTTTCACTTTTTGGGAGAGCTTCATGGACCTTCTCCTACATGTACAAAGATTTGTTATGTCTGTTTTGGGCCTATGAAATTCACAAGCAACAAATTTAAATGAAATTTTGGGAATGCATCTAAACTCCACTTGTTTCTTCAATGGCTGTAGTATTTATTAAACAAAGTATCTGTACTTCTACACAAAGTATCTGTTTTGATCACCACTCATTTTTTAATATTTTTTTTTCTATTATATTACACTGACAAAAACTACAACAAATATAGTGGACAAAACAAAGACCACTAAGCACATATCACATTGTAACTCAGTGATGCACTTGCTTTGTTCCAGACATAATATGAAACACAGTAAGCCCCTGCACATGTCTGTGCATGTCAGTAACAGGTGGGGGGCACTAGAATGTATTGGCTAATGTTTGCGAGTATAACATATTCCAGATTTACTTCATGACAAAAGAAATATACTTTGTTTTCAATATATACATGAAATGCAAAGTTATGAATCATAAGAAAAGAATGTGAGATGCATATACAGTATTTCTGGTAAGGGCTCTAATAACAGCACTGAGACTAATCCAATGTGATCCAATGGGCCATGACGCAGTGTTATATTGAAGACTGCAAAGACTATACAGCAAGCTCCTGTATCCAAGTAATTTCCCATGGCGATCAATAAAGTTTGTCTCAGTTTAAGTCAACAATAATAACACATATCTCGTGAATCATTCAGGAAATAAGTCTTATGTTTACATACACATTTAAAATAGCTACTTATCTACTTATTTATGCATTCATTTTATTAATAAAACTTCTAACTTGCACATTTTTGTGGGGTTCAAAATTCAAGTGAAGTCAGATATCAAAGCAGGAACATTTGTCCATCTTAAAGGTGCACTATGTAACGTTTAGGCTGGGAAATGTTTCATAGTATGGCATTAAACAGCTCTACCTTACATTTATTAAATTACAGTTGGTTTTAGCTCAAAAACATCTAAAAACAGGCATTCTGTGAGTGGGGTTGCCTTTCCATAGATCTGACATGTGACTTGGTCTGGTTTGGTCACTGTGAAGATAGAAAGATACTATACTGTGAAACATTCTAGACAAAGCAATAACATTTCCACAGAGAAAAGCATTTCCTCCACTTTCCACCACCAGAAAAGTTACATGACGCACCTTCAAGTTAAATACATCTAATAAAAATCATGTATTGAACATTTGGCTGCTTTTAGAGTAGCATGACATCACCTCCACCTTCACCCCCTGGTCCCCTGCTCACTCAGAGGCAGGTGGACGGTGCCCTGCGGTTGCTGCACAGAGGCGGGGTCTTGGGGTGGGACCCTTTGACTCCCAAAGCCTGGGTTGTTTCTTCACTGCTGGGTTATAAAGTAGGGGAAAGCCCATATGAAGTCTATGAGCCCATAAAACAGGCCTTTAATTTGCCAGAGCATAGCCTGGAGCTAGCACTAGCATTAGCCTCTTGTTTTCCTGGTTCTATCATGACCCCACAGGCGACACTGATCCAGTCAGAGGAAATCTTTTATGAGTGGAGCTTGTAACACAGGAATATGGACTACAAATACTACACACATGGAAGAAATATGCTTTATGGGGATGCCTTTCTATGTCCTGAGGCACTTAAGTTCAGGCTAAGGAGATGTAGTCTAACCTCTTGAAGGAGACATTTTCTGCAAAACCTTTTTGAGCTTTTAGTCATTTTATAATTGTTTTCGACTCATATTTACTCAGTCAGAGTTGTATTTAGAGTGATTCTTGCATGTTTGAGTAATCCTTATCATCCTGCATTAAAGAAGGCCTACTATGCAAACTTTTCAGAGCTTTTAACTATGTTATAGTTGTTTCCCCTTCTCAGTTACCCCTTTGAAGTTGTATTGAACAATCCTTAATCACTTATTTTCAAGACACCATATTGCTGATCTACCTGTTTTCACTGACATACGCCCATAGATTCATTAGCAGGACTCAGAGTATAAAAAAATGAAATTGAAATTTATAAAACATGTTACTACGTTGTTTTCTGTGAATATAGCATTTTCAAAACAATAAAAGGTAACATGGTGATATAGATAGCTTATGTGTTAACAGTTACTGTAATACCCCACAGAAGTAAAATACTTCTATGGGGCATTAACCGTATAAAAAAATGTATAAGAATTGAGAGTTCATACAAGTCGATGCTTATACTGTTGCATCACTTTTATGCCAGTGCTTCAGGCCAAGTCTCAAGTAAAATAATTGATGGCATTTTTCAGTGTTTAAAGTGGAATGTCTTCTATTGAAAAGAGAAGAGGAAGGATTGTACACCAACATTTCTCCAATGCCAAACCTGATCTAATCCTTCTGCAAACGGCTCCTAATACAAAGGCCAATTCAGAACGTGTGATTAGTGGCACAAAAGGAATTCATTTCTCAAATACTTTTAGATACAACTCTATCAAAGTCTGTCAACTTTATACAACTAGTGAAACAAGCAAGTTTGGAGTGGCCACATGGGGTCAAAAATCCAGTTAAACTGTTGATTCTGGTGTGAATTAAAACTTATTATATTAGTTCTAACCATTAAAAAGCTATTGTGCTTCTGTCTGCTACATATCAAAGTTTCAATGTTCAAACATTCAAAGTTAGCTTTACTGTCAGTTTCTTCTCATGTGCAAGACCTGCAAAGGAATCAAAATTATGTTTCTCTCTATCCCATGCATAATGAAATTAAAAAAAAAGTTAAATAGTGCAAAAGGCATATAGTGCAAGGCACAAGACTTTCTTTGGGGGGAGTCGGAAGGGGGTCTGAGTCCAAGTGTTCTTTGTATAGTTCTGATCTTGGTGGGTAGAAAGGGGAGAGAGTTCAGTATCCTAACAGCCTGGTTGATGAAGCAGTTAGTGAGTCTGGTGGTGCGGGAACGGAGGCTCCTGTACCTTCTCCCAGAGGGCAGGAGACTGAACAGATTGTGTGCAGGGTGACTTGCGACACTCACAGTGATGGCTTTGCGGGTGAGGTGGGTGGTGTATATGTCTTGCAGGGAGGGGAGTGGTGCACCAGTGATCTTCATGGCTATTTTCACTGTGTTCACATATATAATCTATGACACTTGTGGATCATTATGTTATAATTGCTACATTTTAAAATTACCTAATAAAAAGGTCAGCTGACTTCCGTGTTAAAAAACTACAGTGCCCAGTGGAAGCAGACATCACAGCAAAGAGTCGGCATCTGTGATTGATATAACTACAGGTCACACTAGTAGGCAGCAGATTTTTTTCAATCCTATGTAAATCACGGATAAAAAAACTGAATTGGAAAACAAAGTTAGTACAGAATAGTGGGCTTAGGCCGGTGGTGGTGAAAACGGGGCAAAATGTCTACTGTGAAGCATATGGTAGGGCTGATTTGGGAACAATATTTCTGACTATCATCACGTTTAGATTTAAAATATATGTTTTGATCAAAGAATTTGCTTCAACATTCACAGTTTAAATGCATCCAGAAGAACTGGCAAAAAGACTTAAATTTGGACTGACAAACTAATACAAGAATCACATTTCTGAACATATTTGCACAGATCTAAACCACAAGGTTTGCCATTTTTTAAGCAGAATAAGACAGAATAGTATCTTTTTTTTGCTAATTGCGTCCATTTCAATTTGATTAATCATGTCGCGTGCTGTCGCCTTGTCAGGATATTGCTAAATGAAAAAATATTATTTATTTGTAAACTCACCTTTCCTGCTTCCTGATATGCAGCTGAATCATTACTCCCATAGTGACAAACGCAAAGACAACTCCAATAGCACCAAGTATGAAACTCAATGGATTATCTGTGGAAAACAAAAAACATTTGGATCGATTATGGCCAATTTTAAAGTCAGACTTAACACAAAACCCTGTGCCTATTGAGAAGTTAATGCTAATTCTCAGAACAGAACACATTTTTACAACAATGCAGTTTCATACTACAAACATTCCCACATTTAAACGCACACACAAATACAATACAACACAATATTATTAGTATTATAGTGGGTACAACTTTTGATTTGAGTCTTGAGGTGAAAAGCTTAAGTTCTTTTATATACTTCAGATCAGGTGGTAGTGAGTTCCATAGTGGCAACGGGCTGACTGTCCAAATGTGGTTCTGTGGTGTGTTGTACAGTTATTACTGGACGTGCTCCTTGTTTGTCTCTGAATAAATGTGCTTATTTGCTCTGTTGCTAGATTACTAATGCATTTGAATATTACTGTAGTTAAAGAGAATTTAATTTATTAAAGATTTTGACGCTGAATAAATTATATTTCTTAAGTATATCACAGTGGTGAGAGCCAATAGTTTATTTGTCCATGATCTTTATTGCTTAATTACATAAAGATCATGTCATGCAGTATAGTATGTGAGAGAAGATCACAGCATACATACACAAATATCAGGATTGGTTTCGACAAAATTTTAATCATTACAATTATAATAAAAATATGTTTTTGCAAAGTTTTGTTTTTAATTATACACGTTGTACTTTTGCTGTTTGTAATATCTGTATTCTTATCTTGACTTTGATTGCATGCTTACTTTAACTACTTTCTGCGCTTTGGTGTGTATTAGGAATGGCCCTGACATAGGAGTGTGTGAGTATGGCAATGAATCTCTCTCCTTTTTATTATCTATTATTTATTTATTATGGCAATTTATCAGAAATGTGCTAAAATGTACTGAGTTGTATCACAGTAGCACATAAAACATGAAAGGATAGTACAACTAACAGAAAAATTGAGCAAATAACACTATATAATTGTGTGAAAGATTACATGGCAAATTCCATTTTCAAAATTATAATTACACGATTATTCATTTTTTGAAATATTTTCCACCACTCACAATAGTGAAATTCTTAAAACCTTAAATCGCCTATGTAATACTATTTTCTGATTCTCTATGTTATAATGCTTTTTCCTCCTCAAAAACTGATGATGACCACCTTGTCATCATCAGTTTTTGAGGCAATACAGGAAGCTCCACTGTGTTTTTAAACTCCATACACCTACTAGAATCATAGAATGAACTAAATGTAAAAGGTACCTATCAATTTGAAAACTACCACTTCATGACATCGCAAGGTGGTACAGAGCATTTGAAGATGTAGACAGACTAAAAATAATGGATTACTCAAACATGTGTGAATGAAACAAATGTCAAGGTATGTTTTTGATGAGATCATAGTGTTTTAACATGACTTAAAGTTCACAAGAGTAAATTTTGTGTAAATATAGGACCTTTAAAATAGCTGATAACTGTATCTCTTTAGTCAACCAATAATTTCTTTAGTCGAATACAACCCTAACTATGAGACCAGCAAACTTCTACCTATTCTGTGGAAGAGCAGATATTGGCACAGAAACTTCAAATTAGAACAATTCAAGGGGAATTTACAACATGGTTCTTTCCCGTGCATTCTTGGCAAAGTATATTAAGCACACCTGTCCCATATTCTGTTTACATTTAACACCTAGAGGATTAAAAGTCAATTAAAAAATACAGACAGCCTCATTCATCATAAAGACATGACCTAATATGGCCCATAGTTAACAAGAGATTCCCAGCTGTTTCTACAATGATGAAATACCATAGCACTTTCCTTGGGGTCTTGGCGAGATTTTTGTAATATATTGGACTATTCAAACAGCTCTAAGCCAGATTTTTGTCCATAAAATAACAGGACAGAAAGGTCATTTATTGCATATGTCTAACATATAGGGCTTGCTAATTGCATATAAAACCTCCAAAGGCTAGCAGTAAAGAGTTATTGCATTGTTTTGGGATTTCCAGTTTAATTGTACCATAAGAAACTGCTGGCTTATTGGAAATGCATAGATGTTGTGGCACTGGCACAGTGGCATAGTACTGTGAGTACGCCTTGCAATCAGATGGCCACAGGTTCTATTGGGGTTTCTGTATGTACTTCTGACCTAAAACAAATGTCCATAATGCAACACAGTCATCTGGTGGTACTGAAGTACGATGAAATAGGAGAATCTTAAGGCCTTGTTTACACGTGCTTTAGTCTTCCATTATGGCTGGGTTCTGTTCATTTATGGTTGTACTCAAAGAGCTAATGCAATTTACCACATTTCCACTGACAAACACCAAAACATGAAACAGGTTTACTACAAATCGTGCAAAACAGTCTAAAATGTATGTCACTCATTCCAAATATGGTTGGAACTGCAAAATATGTGGAAAAAATAACATATTAGTGTTATAAGCTTGAAAATAATACGGTATTTACCATGAACTTACAACTATGAACTATGTTTACAACTAAACTTATAATCTGCTGAATCAAAATGGCTTTTTAAATGTTTTTCTAAATATCACACAGATTTAGAAAGGAATACACCCTCTGGCATTTCTGTGGAGAGGACTTCATTCGACAATGCTGATAAAGTCTTTTTTTTCTTTTTCTTTGTCTTTTTTTTTGTTTTTGTACATGGTAACACTATTTATTTCTATAACACGCTGCTGCTGTCATCAGATATTACACCCTGTCTGATTCTGAAGTATTCCTGGAATGTATCTGTCAACTTTTGACTTTAACTACTCATGTATGAACAGCTGCATTAGAGATCGTGACAAAAAGTTCTAGTAGTGAACACCTTTTTGCATATTATATGCCTTTCTTAAAGGTGCACTATGCAACTTTTCTGACACCTGCTTGAGATGTTATTTTTTTGCCTGGAATGTTGCACAATATCACATTAAATTTACATACCTTCCATGAATTCATAGGTTTTTATTATTGCAAAAATATCTACAAACAAATTAATAGTTACAGTGAGGAGTAACCACAACACAGACATGATCTGTAAATTTGGCGTTGACGTTGTTATCTGCCTGTCTCTGTGGCGATTCACAAGTTTAATGTTATACTATGGAGCATTACAAGTACAGAAATGGTGGCAGACCCTTCACCAAAAAAGTTTTTTCTTTTGCCAGAGATATTTCTGTGACATTATCATTTTCAGACAGCACCAAAGAAAAGGCCACACTGAGCTGAAGACATTATAGAAAAAGAATTGTACCAGGCAAAAAGATGATTAAACCAACAGAGCTGCTGCAAAAAATCCTGTTCAGCATCTGAACAGAGAACCATCTTCAATCAGTAAAGGGAGATGAGAAGACACTCAAATTTGAACAACGTGCTTCAAAGTTTACTGATGCCCTTGGCTGGCATTTCAACTTCTTTTCTGTAGGCAACCTGCATTTAGCACGCACTTCAGTAACTCTCTGCGCTCGCTATCTCTAGAGAAATCTGAGAACGAGACTGTGGACAGAAAATTAAACAAGCTTTTTATCTTGCACCCCGCGTTACTTTGAAAATGGCCGCCTTCCTGCCTGTTCCTCCATCTGTCACCTTCTCTTTAATTACTTTCTTCTCCTCTGTGTGCAGCTTGTCTATTAAAGTTATACCTTGTAAGAACATGACCTGGTGGTATTGATACTTTGCAGTGACATTGCGCTGGGGATGTACTACATGTATGCTCGCGATGTTCTACATGAATGTGTGTTGGCAGAATCTTCGCCAGTTACCTTGGAGACAAACATTAACAAACAAAGTCAAATTAAGATTGTGTGGAAACTCAAGAACACCTATTATGAGCCTGTCTTCCTTACAAGTGTTCATGGTCCTAGTTGTTTGATTTTCAACAAAAATATGATTAAAGTCTAACAAAGCCTCAGACAGAGACGTGCTTGCAGTTAACATGACACTCCTAGAGAATGTCGATGGCATCAGCTGCAAACTTTCAATTAATGAAGAGACCTCAATATGCTAAAAGCCAAAAACTCTAAATGTACTGGTAGAGGTTGGAAGATTTAGTTCCAGCAAGTTCCAGCAGGTTTTTGTGGTTCCACCTTAACAAATATAAGCCAGAAGTCAGTAAGTAATAGTAGTAGCAATGATGATAAATTTTCAGTCAGGCTTGTTTCCCAGTTTTCATTAAAGGTCTATCCATCAATATTTGTCTCCATGGAGATGTTTTTGTTTTGCCTGGAATGTTCCACAGCATGGCATTATTAAATTACAGCTGTTCAATTGCTCAACAGTGACTTGAAAAACATGCATTCTTACTGTCACCGAGCTTAACTCTCGACAAGTCTGTCCTGTAGCTTGGCCTGTCATACTGTGGAACATTTCAGGCAAAGCATCAGTAGTACGGCAATTTAATAGTCAAATCTATTAAATTTATACAACTTCAGAGATCCTATATTATGGAAATTTGACTCTTATAAGCTTTAAGTCATGTTAGAATGTTGTTTCATTCACACATGTTTGCAAAACCCTGCAATATTAGTCTGTCTTCATCCCCAAAGCTCAAAATGCTCTGTTCCACCTTCTACAACTTCCTGTTTTACCACAAGACATCATGAGGTGGCATATTTTTCATTTGAAAGAAGAACTTAGAGTAAATATGCAGGATCTGTGTGTTAAACATGTGTGAATGAAACAAAACAATATAACATAGATCAGAAAATTGTGTAATATGGGCCCTTTAAATCGTTCATTCATTTTTCAAAATAAAACTAAAAATAAGAAAACGAAAAAAAAAAAAAAAAAATAACATTTCTTCATTATTTGTCTCCAAAACCAAAATGAAATAACAGATAACAATTTGTTTTTTCAGTTTTCTATTTTGTGTTTAAATGAATAATGGATCAAATGGATAACGGCCGTTTCCCGTTTCTCTGACTTAAACTGAGATGCCGGACTTTGCACCGCATATGGACAGATCCAGGGCTAAAAGAGGACTATAACAGGTCTAAATCAGGTCTAAACCAGGTCTAAACCAGGTCTACACCAGGTCTAAACCAGGACTGAACCAGGACTGAACCAGGACTGAGTGTCGGGACAGGCCCGATCAGACCGGGACTGAGACCGGGACTAGACCAGGACTGAGACCAGGGCTGAGACCAGGACTGAGACCAGGACTGAGACCAGGACTGAGACCAGAACTGAGACGGTTTAGTCCTGGTTTAACCCTGGTTTAGCCCTGGTTTAGACCTGTTTTAGTTCTGGTTCATCCCTGGTTCAAGTCATGAAAACGGGAAACAGCCGTTATCCGTTTTTTCATCATTATTCATTTTAACACAAAATAGAATACATTATCTGTTTTTTCATTTTAGTTTTGGAGATTAATAAGGAAGAAAATTATATTTTTTTTCTTTTTCTTATTTTTGGTTTTATTTTGAAAAACTAATGAACAAATGATACATGAATTCCTTTAAGGACATGACCTATAAATTTGGTGATGTTTTTCATATTCTGACAGAAGAGCATAGCCATAAACTGAATATAAGTTTCCCATAGTCCTGCTTACATCAAAAACACTTCAAGGACGTCTGTTGAAGCCACACCCTCATTCAATTTTACACTCCTCTGAGTCCGGCCAAAGATATTAACATTGATCATCAGAACTCTCCGCTCCCCTGTCACAACACAAGGTCATAAAAATGCTCATTGACAACTATTGCAGCTCATTCAAATCAATCTTGTAGGTGGAGTTTGACTAAAGGGACCCCCGTCACCTCGGTAACAGCAAAGGTTTTCATATACACTACCAGTCAAAAGTTTGGATTAACTCACTCATTCAGTGTTTTTTTTTTTTCTTACTACTTTCTACATTTGACATACATATAAAAGACATTAAGTATATGAAGTAAGACATGTAGAATTATTTTGTAAAGAAGAAACTACCAACTTTTGCTCTGTGAAAATATTTTTCACAAATACAGTGTGAACACTCAAGTAAAAACAAAACTAAATGGAGTCTGTGATCATGGCTCTATTTAGTACTACTGAAAAACTGCTAGCAAGCTTGTGACTGTAATTTTATGTGTGAGAGAGATTTGTTTAAGCACACAAATCATCTCATTTGTTGTAGTTTATGTTAAATAAAGCTCAGATTAAGTCTAACGAGAGCAAGGGTGAGCAATTATTTTTTCCATGGGGCTACATGAGAAACCGAAAATATTGTGGAGAGCCGGGCCAAAATGCTTAACTCGATTCTGCATAATATTAATTGTATTTCTTTATAAAAAAAAAAGCAGTAAATAGCATTGTTTTGACAAGCTGGTAAGACTGGTAAGAGTATATGTTATGACTAAGCAATGAAAAAGTGAGATGCCTTACAAAAAATGGCATTTAAAATTAACACCTCTAAAATAAAAGTGATGCAGTTTAGTCCATTCATGAAGTCAAATTATAAAATATGTTTATTCTGTAGTCCAATGAGATTCATTTGGTCTTCCGATATTTTATGTTATTAGGTTCTTTTTTCAGATCAAGAGTTTTATTTCTTACCTGACAGTTTCGACTGCTCACTAGCGGTCTTCCTCAGAGTGGGAGTGTCCTGAGGAAGTCGGACTGCAGATGGCGCTGTCATCCTGCCTCCACCGGTAGGGGGACAGCGCCAAAACCTGTATAAATCAGCTGACCAGACACGTCACAGCAACATCATGTGACCACTCTGAGGAAGACCACTAGTGAGCAGTCGAAACTGTCAGGTATGAAACAAACTCTTGGTCTGAAAAAAGAACCTAATTACATATGTTTATTCTGTACTTCCAAATTAGCTTAAACAGGCTGGCCAGTCAACCAAAGAACTGTAGGTGGCCCAGTAGCGGTACAATGCCCAGGTCTGAACTTGCGTAACAAAGCTTCTAACAGGGTAGTGCTTTCAGTTAGCTTCACCATCCCAGGGAATGTTGTTGGGACCATCTGAAAAGTATCAGTAACAATTCTCAAAGGAAAAATTCACACAGCTTTCGACCTCTGCTTATATACTGCTGGGGTGGATCATTATTGGAACACCAAACTGACATTAAGAGAACAGTTTCCACTTGGATTTCAAAAATATTATCTCAGCCAGTACGACCACCCCAAATTCTGAGTTCAGATGAAAACTGTGATTTTTTGTAGTTCTGGCATGTGGTGTGTGGTTAGTCTTCCTGACATGGCCGAGGGTCACTGAGGGAAATGACAGAGGTAACACCTGCTGCAGACGCCTCAGGACATGTTGTTAGCTGTTAGTGCTGATTTGGCTAATGAAAGAGTAAAGAGGGAAAAGTGTGATATCGGTCTCAAAGGACAAGAGCTGAACTTTGAGCAACTTTTAATGACTTTAACTAGTCAAAACGTACAATTAGAATACTCAAACCAAAATCATCTGTAAAAGTGTCACTGTGCAATTTTATATAATTTAAAGGTATTACACTAAATTGACTCTTGTGAGCGTTAAATGATGTTGTAATGCTGTTACCTCCTCAAATACATACCAAGAGTTATGTTGTTTTTCATACTCATTAATTTCATTCACGTTTGCGTAATCCTGGTTTATTAGTTTGTCTGCATCTCCAAAGCTCCGAATGCTCTATTCCACCATGTGATGTCATGAAGTGGTAGTTTTCAAGTTAACAGCTTTTATCTTTTGTTCAGTAGAGATAGGAAACATCAAAATGATTCCAGAGAAGGTGTATGGGTTTTAAAAAACAAAATGGAGCACTCCCTGTATTGCCACATGACATCACAAGGTGGATCAGTGTCTTCTGTTTGAGGGAACATGGCGTAAATATGCAGGGTTTGTGTGTTAAACTTGTGAGAAGGAAGCAAAACACAACTCCAAGTATGCTTTTGATGAGAAAGAACTGCAACATTTTTGTATAAAGGGATGCATTTTGGGGTATTTTTCTGAAAAACCCATCAGTCAAAAGTAAGAGACAGAAAAGGTTTGAAATGATCTCCAATCAAGGTCTAGCCGTCTAAAGTCTCCTAGAGAGTAGAGCTGTGCAATTAATTTTTTTTTTATATTGAGATTCAGCCATCTCTAATCGTCAGTGACAAGCTTGAGCCTCTTTAAAGGAGATTTCAACAGCCAATTTTCAGTAAAAGCATTTGATTGGAGCAGAGGTCAGACTTTAGAAGAACAAATGTAACATGTTTTTAAGGTTGAATGGAAATTATAAAAAGTCTTGTTTGTGTTCAGAAAATTATAATTTATCGCCAATCAGTTGTATAAGAAAAAACATAATTATTGGGTGAAAAATGTTTGTCTTCCCTTACAGCATTTTTTATAGCTTCATTCATTCAAACACAAACAGTTGTTGGATGAAAGGATTTTTGAGCCACAACCTTAATATAGCAGATTTGTGGACTCATTCTCCAACTATTTCTGGTTCAACAATTGTGGACTTTCAGTTTGGTTATTTATTTCAAAGAACAGTAGCTAGCTCATTTCCTCTATCTGAAAGTTAAGCCGTCATCACATTATATTATAAACCCATGAACTATTCATGTGTGGAATATTTTGAGGACTTTTCATTATCCAAAAAATACAGTTATTTCTTAATCACCATGGCAGCGTTCCTAATTTTTCATCATCCTGAAACCTTATGACCACAAAGCTTCCCCTGAGCCCTGACACCACGCCTGGACTTTTGTTTCCCTCACATTTTGCCTTTGCTTTTTACACTGTCTATATTTAACCAAGAGGAGGAGAAGGAGGAGGACATGTATTTGATCATTTATAAGAAGAACAGCTGTGAAGCGGAGAGCATCAGAACAAAACACAACTATACAATAAACAGTTTTAGTGTCTGTCTCTGAAATAAAAGCCGGTGACTAAGAGAGATAACACACTGAGGCAAATAAAAAGTACTTATAAACAGGGCCACAGAGTGAGTAGTGACATATTCATGATAATAAAACAGCTACATGTGATTGTGTGCAGCTGTGCAGAGTGACTAGGCTTCACATATGCAACGTATTACAAGGTAAAAGTCAGTAATTATTATTATTAAAGAAAAGATAGAGGACTGAGAGCCAAGGACAGATGATCATAATATACAGTTGCTTGCTGTTCTCTATCTATTTCCTACAATTACTTCAACAATGTCTGTAACTTTATATAAATATTTAATCAATCTATTTTTTTCTATTTTATTTTTTCTATTTTAATCATATCATAATTTAGTATGCAGGAGTTAGTTGGTAATAAGAATTGAAGGAAAGACTGCCATCTGTGGATGGGAGACTATAACTACATTAAAGCACAGAGACTACTTGCCGTAACTGGTTACATCTTATCAACTAGTCTTTAATATACATAAACAATAAACAGACTATTTATGAACTCTAATTAAAAACCTGTGCTGGTACAGCTACATAACTTTCTGCGAGCGCTCTCAGGATTCAACAGCAGGTATTTAAACTTGGTAAGAAACTTGTTTCTATATCAAAATATTTCCTGAACCAGGCAAACTAACCTGATATACAGAAGGGGCGCTGTCCTGTCCATGTCCCATCCTCCAGACAGGCTCGCTCTGCAGACCCGTACAGCCCAAAGCCCTGGTCACAGTTAAAATTGAGTCTGTCCCCCTTTAGGTAATGAGTGCCCTTCTTTCTGCCATTTTTAGGTGTCGGTAGCCAACCACAAGAAGTCACTTAAAGATAAAAAAAAAAAACAGATTTAACTTTTTATAATTTTAGACAAAGGTGGATGCTCATAAAGCATACATTATCTTTGAAACATTTTTATAAAATCATTTATTTTAATAGGTACTTGAATGCCCGAGGGATAATTATAATATATAGATGGTTAACTAGTAGTAACAGACATACTACACAGTTCATTTGATCTTTAAACCGTACTTAGTAATATATAAGTACTTGTTTTATTCTGTATGACTGTGACAACTATTTGGTCAGAATCATATGTGTACATTATCTTTACATTATGTTTAATAAGCGTTAAAAAGTAAACATTACCTCCACTTGAATAACAACAACATCACAATTGCCACTTTGAGTGATTAATATGTGCTCCCTCAACTAAATTGTAATTGAGATGTTGTAATTTAAAAATCAGGATTTAACTCTGAGTGCACAAACATTACCATGTGAGAGAAACTAATACAAGAACCCCATTCATTTCATAACATGTTTGTAGATATATAAACCATGTGGTTAGCACGTCTTTCCATGTAAAACAGGATATTTTGTAGCTTCCATTGGTTATGTAACTGACCTTACCTGGTTTTAAGTCTTTAACTAGGTCGAGGTGTCTGTGGAAGGCCATGAGCGTTGAATTTCCCATGAGCAGGCTGCCTGTGAGAAGTGTATCATATTTACAGAAGAGGGCTCCATCTCCAGAGCACAGTGTTGACATACTCGTCACCAGGGGGTCATCAGGGTCCTCAGGGGGGGAGAAGACAGGGACAAAAGCAGCTCCAGGAGTGTGGTAAGTCTCCAAAAGATACGTGGAGTCATACGTGAAGAGGGAAGATGTCTGTGAAATTCTCCCTATGAATGAATATCAAAACAGTGTAATAAATATGTGGTAAGTCTCTTCTAGGTATGCCCATAGTTGATCTTTTCACTAATTTAAAGGGCCCATATTGCACTAATTTCTGATCTATCTTGTCTAGGTATGTTTCTTCATCAAAAACATACCTGGAGTTATGTTTTGTTTGTCATACAGTTGAGTTCTTCTCTCAAACTAAAAACCTTATAATGTACTGTGCAATGCAGGAAGTACTCCGCTTATTTTATGGCTGCTTTTCTAGGAATCTGATTTATGGACTAGTGTTGATCAGTGTCTGGCAAAATTTCATTGATGTTTTTGGTAGTTACATGAATATAGTGTGTTATAGGGAAAATGTAATTTTATTGATAAAAGTCTACTGGCCTCTTCCCCAATCTATTCTATCACGAGCCTGAAATAACCTGAAATAAATCTTTTAACTGGCTGTTTTAGAAGTTAAGGATATTTGTATGAGAAATGTTACTTAGTTATACCCACAATCCTCTCCAAATGTGAAGATACTGTCTGGGGTGTCTTGACCCAAGAGGATGGCTTTTCCAGATGGGGTCATGAGGTCATCAGAGGGGTCAGAGTTCATCACTCCGAAGAGGCCTTTGGTTTGATTTGTGAACTCCCATGGCAAAAGTACAGTCACTGCCATCATTCCTTCATTGAGATGGACTTCTACACCAGTCCCAGAGGAGAACATAACTCTAATGTGCTGAGGATTGGGCGTGAAGATGAACAACCCTAAAGGAAAGATGGATTTTAAATATATTACATACTAAATATCAGCATCGATCTCTTTTTAACAATCAGATTGAGGATCTGCCACCTGCTTGTCTCTGAAAAGCTAATACTGTTTTGTCCAGAATCTTCCACAGTATGGCATTACACTTAAAATTACAGGCTTTTCATTCCTAAAACAATATATTGAAAACAAGCACTATTACTGTGAGCTTATGTCCTCACAGATCTGCTCTACATGAAGGTAGAGCTATGAAGAGCTATGTTTAATGCCATACTGTGGAACATTCCAGACAAAGCAATAACATCTCCATGGAGACAAGCAGTTGCATAATGCACTTTATGAATGCAGTGGCACCCCTTCTAATTCAATCTATTTTAAAGAAATACAATGTTATTTACACTATTTACATTGTTTTGTGCCACATTAAAACAAATATAATCATAATCAAATCAAATAAAGCTTGTCTAGTCTGTATGTTTTTCTAACTGACAGTATGTGTTAGTACCATGCAGGTCCATCCATGTTTGTTCATTGAGAGGTAGAATCTTCTGGTTCCTCAACACTTGCAGATGGTCCTGCCTCTGACGAACTTCAACGATATCAGAGGAGTCCTCCCTCATGGCCACCGAAGAGAGCTGTGTGGCATTGGCTGAAGAACCTATACAACCAAGAAAACGACAACTTTAAGTGTTCTGTACTTAAAGGTGCACTGCGTAACATTTCCAGTAGAGGGTCCACCACCTGCTTATTTCCATGGAAATGTGATTGCTTTGTCTAGAATGTTCCAAGAAAGTTACAGCACTACACTACATTATAATCCAGATCTGTGGAGAGTCGCCCCATTTACAGGAGGAATTATTGTATTTTTGAGTAATAGAAACACATGTAATGGATAAATGCTTAATGCATATGTTTAATGTCATACAATGGAACATTCCAGGAAAAGCAATAACAACTCGTTACTTGTTCCACAAGTAGGTAGCGGGCCCTCCACCAGAAAAGTTGCACAGTGCATCTCGAAATAAACAACAACAACAACAAAAAATCTATAATTCAAGTGCAAGAATAATGTGCATAATGCCACACTGTGGAACATTACAGACAATGGAATACGATCTCTAATGAGACAAGTGGTCTAACCCCCCAGCAGAATTGTTCTCGAGTACACCTTTAACTAATGCAAAAATGTTATTTTATCTGATTATTCATGACAAATTAACTATCATTATCATTAAGAAAATGTAGTTTCATAAGAGGAATTGTAACATATTAGACAGTGGGAGTAACTTCACACAAAAAAATGGTATACTGTGATATTCTTACTGAATCATTATAACCATGTTGTATTAAACAGTCCAGATGCATCTCTTTAATGGGCTAATAAGAACAATGTTCATGACATTCACAGTCTCTTGGCCAAAGGAGATTAGGTAATGGTTTGGCAGAAAGTCACACCCATAAAGTTACATCTGCTCCCCTCCTCGCTACAGTCACTTCATATAACACAAAAGAAGAACAGAGACACACGGGATCACTGGTGTGTACTGTGCATATGAATAGGACATGATTTGTTTGTTTGTTTGATAGGAAAAAGCAAAATATGAATCTACAACAAACTGTATTGTGGGGTGTAGTATTACTTTTGCATTTACCTTTAATAAGCAGGCCCAAATTGAGCCTGCTGTATTTGGGTGGGTAGATTTAAAGGTGCACTACTTGCTTCCATGGAATGTTATTATTTGCCTGGAATGTTCCACTGTATGGCATTAAGCTTATCTACATCCACAGAGACTAACATGTGATGCCACAAGTTAAGTTAAGGTCAAATAAAGATTTTCAAAGTATTTTGGAGAAATAAAATCACCTGTAATTGAATAAATGCATGATGGATAAGTTTAATGTGGAACATTTCAGAGCAAAACTATGCATTTTTTAAATTAATGCAAGCAGGTAGCGGACCCTCCACCTGAAAGTTACACAGTGCAAGTAAATATAGCAAATGAAAAAATCATTTGAGTCAACAGGATAAAAGTGTTTTCACTCTAAAACTTTTGTCTAGTTGACACAGTTTAATCTTTCATTTGCTATGGATCATACCTGGACAGCTGAGGGATTTCACAGACAAAAGAAAACATAGCAAAAAAGGAGCTATAGGTCAGTTGCACTAAATAACTATTATATAAATTGCAAGTTTTACAATCATTAAAATATTTGGCTATTTGAATGAAACTTAACATCATATTACCACACTATAGCCCCAGTTATTTCAATTAGTCATATTTTTAGAAAAGTAAAGGTTTTAAGGGACCCACATTACATTATTTTTTGATCTGCTAAGTTATAATGTTGTTTTCTCATCACAAACATACCTGGAGTTGTGTTTTGTTTAACGCACAAACCCTGGCTGTTTAGGCTGAGTTCTTCTCTCAAAGAGAAAACAGTGTTACTCAAAGATGCGTGAATCAAACAAAACACAACACCAGGTAACAACATTCTAACATGATTAAAACATCACCTGAGTCAATTTCTCATAATATAGGGCCCTGAAGTTTTTAATTGTCAACTCAGGTCAGTGACAGCAATTCACTCACCATTTTTAAGTTTCACCTTCTCTGTTCTGGCCTGAATCTGCAGTTCTTTATGTGGAGACAAAACCAGGCTGTACTCTCCTTCACCGTTGAAGCTGTAGTTGAATCCATCAAATGTTATGAAATGTGGGTCTCCAAGGACAACAGCTGTAAGGCATTCAGAAATACAGCACTGAACTATAATGCCATACACAGATGAAATTAAGTGTCAAGCACAGGCACTGCTATTTTATTTTTTATAATATTGTTTTTCTATCCTTCATTTAATAAATTGGGGACACATCCTATTATTAATCTGTGAAGAATTGTTGTTACATTTTTCTAAACTTTCATCCTTAATTGTGGTCCTACTGATTCCACTTTTTTATAGGGATAAAAGGGCGCATGTTACTGCTATTTCCTGATCTAAGTTATAAGGTTATTTCCTCATCAAAAAACAGCTGGAGTTGTGTTTTGTTATCTTTCACACATGTTTAACACACACTGTGCATATTTAGGCTGTTCTTAATAATAATAATAATGCCTTATACTTCACATCATACTGGGTGGTGATAAGCAACTATCAGCCCCTCTGACCACCACCAATCATTCAGGCACACACCTCTTACATACTAGGCAATGTGAGTGAAGTGTCTTGCCTAAGGACACGATAAGTTGCTGTCTTCTCTCAAACAGAAAACACTTGCACCTTGAGATGTCACGTGGTAATAGAGGAAAATCTCCACTGTGTTTATAAACTCCATACAACTTTAGCCTAAACCACAAAACTAAAACCACTTTGATCATTTCAGCCCTGAAATCGCCAATTTCTACTGAACAAATGTACGACTACAGAACATTACAAGGTGGAACGAGCATTTTGAGTTTTAGAGAGGTAGGCTTACTCAAAAATGTGTGAATGAAACAAAACACTGCTCCAGGTATGTCTTGAGGAGGTGTTGAGCATAACTAGTAATGCACAAACAAATAAGTAATATATTCTTGCCTGCGTGTGGTGGTTGGTAGCTTTGACATCCACTGGAGGGCCTGTTCTTCAGATATATGGGGCAATTGTCTGACCAAAGGCAGCAGTAGAAGAAACTCATGACATCATAGAGCCAGTGGGAGTAGCCTGGGACCCGCGGGGGCTTTCTATAAGGAGGAGCCCCCCAGTCGTGAGCCCTGTCTGGGGTACTGTCACCAGCTGAGTCCCCTGTCAGCACAAGATTACCACTGTGGTCATAGCAGCACTGTTGACCAGCTCCATATGTAGGACTGTGAATATAATAGATAATGAGTTTTACAAAATACAAAAGTACATATTTAAACGATTATTATTATGAAGACTGAAGAATAATACCTGGCTTGGACTGATCTGACACAGTGGACACAACCTGGGTGATAAGTGCACACACTGCCTGTCTCAATGTTACAGCTATAGTCAGTCTGAAAGAGCAAAATCTTCATTAGCACAAAAACAATACAATGATAAAACACTGTATTTTAATCCCTAAGATGATATTGAACATTGTCCTATTATGATTTAGTTTGATCACAAGTTTCTGTTTAATGTAGCTCTTTTCATATGAGGGGAGGCACTCATAAGCAATTGCTTCAAGCCTACTCTGTTTGGGCTTTGTATGCTTCAATCTAATTATGAATGCATGCAATGTAAAAACAAAATGTAAAACTTAATAAGCCCAAATAAACTAAAGAAATTTAGGCTTTAGGAAACGATTGGCATATTGTCCATCCATATCACAAATTAAATATAATAATAAATAAACACACATGAAATCTGCCTGTGTCTGCTCGGGCCTGGGCCAGAGTACAGGGACAGTCCATGAGCTCATTGAGGAAGTTGGGCAGGGTCTTCTCCAGGATGTCCCACTGTAGACATTTAACTTTGGCCCACACAGCAGAGTCCTGTCTGAAAGCTTCCTCCAGATGCCAGGCCAAAACATGGCCTCGGCTCCACAAAGCTGCCACATCCCTGTGAAGACACACATGTAGCTGAGTGATACATCCACTACAAATATTAAGTATACAATGTTCAGTGTTCAGTTTTCACATGATCTGATTATCCTTACTGAAAGTAAGAAAAAAATGGTATGAATTGTAGGCCTATGTACTGTACATAATTGTGTACAAGTAACATAAGGAAACAAATATTTTCCTTACCTTGCTCCATTTGGGACAGAACTTGCAGTGATCCGAATGTTTCCCAGCTCTATGTCTGAATAGTTTTGTGAAGAGTCTGGGAGAAAGCCGAACAAACCGCTATTGGAAACGTTTAGGACGACTGAATAGAGGTAGTGGATGCTGGCCTCATAAGGGAAAGTCTTGTTTGTCTCTTCTATCCCAGTGTGGATTTCCTCATAGCCCCATAACTCAATGTTCACTGTGTCTTCTCCAATGAGTGACTGGTTCCAGGTCATCTGAAGCTCTCCTGAGATGTTCTGAGATCCATAATGGTGCCATTTTGTTCCATTCACTAGAACAACCTCAGAAGTGGGGTCTGCTTTGCTTGGGTGAACTGGTGTAAAAAAATATTATTATTATTATTATTATTGTGAAAAATAAATACGGCAAAAAAATTATATGGCTGTGATGTATATTGGATTGATTGTGATTGCTGATTATTCAATAAATGTGATGATTAATGCAATAATTATAATTGTAATCAGGATTTCTGTCCCTAACATATGCCTCATGCTTGTGCTTTTTTCATAATTAAATAATAACTGCTCAAGGGGAATACATTTTGAGATTTTGTGGAAAAATTCTCAGATGCCCTCAGTCAGTCTTCTTTTAATTAAAGGTCCTATATTACACAAAATTGACTGTTGTGAGCTTTTCATCATGTTATGATTAAAAACATACGTGGAGTTCATACACGTTTGGGTAATCCTTTATTATTTTTTTGTTGTTCCGTTTGAAAGGGGACTAATGTGTTAAACATGTGTGAATGAAACAAAACAACTCCAGCTATGTTTGTGATGAGGAAACAGTATTATATCGTAGATCAGAAAATAACTCACTATGGGCCTTTTACTCTATAGGTAAAAGGAACCTTAAAAATTATTAAACTAATCAAAAACTACTTGCTGAATAAATTGATGACTAAAAATAATCATTTGTTCCAGCCTTTTACCTGACAGGTACTCTCCACTTCTGTCAAAATTACTTCCTCCTATAGAGATGTCAATTTGAATCCAGCCTATTTCATACAACAGAGGAGAGATACAGAAAGCTTGACCCTCAGCATCAATAATCCCACTTCTCACTATTTCACCTTTAAACCTAAAACAAAAAACAGTTTAACTTTTTGTAACTTTTCATTTTTGGCATATCAGTCAATGAATAATTAGTTGTACATATTGATTAGTGACAAACCTGCATGCAAAATGTTCATTTGGTGGAAGAAGCAGGTCAATGATCTTCAGGGCTTTTCCTCCTAACATGGAGCTGGAGTAGGGGCTCACTTTAAAACAGGACTGGTTGTAATCCACGCAACAATTCCTCAAAGACTCACAGGTCCAATGGCAGGAGCACTCAGCCAGTTTAGATCCACACATTCCCTTACACGATTCACCTATCACAGATGAAAATGCAAAAGGAAAAATTTTATATTTTGCATTAAAAATGTTATAAACACGCAGAAAAAGTATATACATTTCAATTATTTACTCACCAGCTGCATTAGAGGAAACCATATGTAGGCCTATAATTGTCAATAATAAAGAGTTTGGCAACATTTTGTCTGACTTCTCTATAAACAAGTTCTAAGCACAGCTAGATAACAGGTTTTCTGAATCTATGGTGTGTATCAGAGGTCATTCTAACAAAGTTTTGAAGTTATATTTTAACCCAAATGAGTTTTGAGAAAGTTAATAAATAGTCCAAACTGTTGGTTTAAATTGGTTAGTTTTGATATAGCTCTACCTCTAACATTGCCACGTAATACGGCACTTCTGCAAAACTACTGAAGTGAAAATAAAGAAAATGTTATACCCCCGTTATAACTTGTTGTGAGTTTGTTTATTTTGATTTTGTGCTCTCGCGAGATTGTGGGAGAGTGCGTTTTTTGCGCATGTGCAGAAGCGTTTTACATTTCTGAATGGTTCAGGATACTTCATCATGGTTAAGGAGGAAAAACATCATTATTGTTCTGATCTCAAGTAATATTCAAATGCAGATGAATGTCGATCATTGGTAGCAACCCCAAAAAATATAAGGAAGTTAGTATACTATTAATACCATAGACTGTATGGTCAATACCTTTCTAGGCTAGCTAGAGTTAGCATCAGCATCTTTTGCAGCTATAGTGTTGTTAGAAAATGTATGTTCTGTACACCATTATTGCGTCTTTAGTCTGCTTTTTGGTCTTGAAGTGGATGAAAAAGAGGAGGTATTGTACCGATTCTAAAAGACTGGATGGCAAAACAGTGCTAATAACAGGTAACAATTAGTATCTTGTCTGATTCTGATTATATTATTGTGTCACTGACTTTATTTATCTATCTATCTATCTATCTATCTATCTATCTATCTATCTATCTATCTATCTATCCTATGTATGTTTGTCTGTCTGTCTGTCTGTCTATATATCTTGTATTCATAACCTTGCTACTGTTTTGGGCTTATTTCATTTCTGTATTGCAGGGGGTAACTCTGGCATTGGAAAAGAGGCAGCTGTGGCCCTTGTAAATCGAGGTGCTCGTGTCATTATAGCCTGCAGAGATGTGGAGAAGGCAGAAAAGGCTGTGAGAGAAATTAAGTTCAGAAGCCACAGTCTCAATGTCGCCCACATGGAGCTGGACCTGGCCAACCTGCGCTCCGTCAGAGATTTCTGCAAGAAGTTCCTCCAGGCTGAAAAGAGGCTTGACATATTGATCAATAATGCAGGTGAGAGAATTGTTATTGCAAACATTAATTTAATCTATTTTGCTCTGGAGGGGGTTTTCAGTCCAGAGGCTCCCCGAGTGGGCACACAGGCGACCACAACATTATTGTCACACCTGACATGATACCGAAAAAAATCTAAATGTTTAATGGCTAATAAAGATGTCATAAAACAGTAATAATCATTTTATTAGCCTTGTAGTAACTATACGAGATGTAAATTACTCATTAGACAAAGATCCACAGTATTGATAGTTGAAGAAAGTAACTGTTATTGTTTCCCTTAAATCTAACTTAAACTGAAATCAGAGACTAAACATTGTGATTCCTGTCATGTTTTCCGTTTCTCAGGCATGCCCAGTGTCCTGGACTGGACTGATGATGGATTCAGCATGTGTTTTGGCGTTAACCACTTGGGTCACTTTCTCTTGACTAATTTGCTTCTGCCTCGTCTTAAAGAGTGTGCTCCAAGCCGCGTGGTCACACTCACATGTTCCATTTATAAATACCAGAAACTGGACTTTCAGGATCTGAACTACAATCTGCTGCCCTTCTTCACCTACAGCCGAAGTAAACTGGCAAACATCTACTTCAGTCAGGAGCTGGCCCACATCACAGAGGGCAAAGGAGTCACCTCGTACGCTGTTCACCCAGGTATAATTTTAGTCTAGTGAACTTAGTTAATTTGTTTATTCGTCTGGAACAATGTACATTAAACACGGATCTGTGCAATAGAGGTAATATGTTTGTGCCAGGTTATAGCAAAATTGCTTCAGTCCCTGGAGAGGTTCATGTCTATGTGCCAGTAAAATACATTGTAAATTAATGCAGTCATTCATCCAGTCAGTCAATTAGTAAAACTATAGTCCCATTCAATCTCAGTCATCACATCCGTACACCATTTAAATATATACACTACAATTGTCCTCAGTTGTCCAGGGTCGAGCGAAATAGCATCACTAAATGTCTTTTTTGTTAAAGAATGCACAGAAACTGTCAAAACAGTGAAAAAAGAAATGTAAAAAAAAAAAAAAACTTAAGAATGAACCTAAATCAAGACATTTATAGGTATGTTTTGGTACTTTTCTAATGGATTGCAAAAATATTTTCTGATAATCATCGAGAGGATCTACAGCAATATCAAAGATATTGATTTTTTCCCTATTACCCACCTTTAAGTGCAATCCTATTTAGTGTATTTGTAAGTTAAACATATTATAATTAAACTGGTAAGATTTGGTGGAATTCCATTTTACACAGTACTTTATTTATCAAATTGAATAAATGTTTTATCTGTAGGTTTTGTGCAGAGTGGCTGGACATGCCACTACTCCTTCCTTTTCCGCATGCTGATGGAGGTGGTGATGCGTATGTTTTTTGTGTCGTGTGAAGTCGGAGCTCAGACTGTGGTGTACTGCGCTGTGTCTGAGGAAGCTGCCAAACACAGTGGAGGATACTTTGTGGACTGTAAACCGGCCAATCTGCGTCCATTCGCCAGAGATGCTGGAGTGTCTAAAAAACTGTGGGAGGCCAGCGAGAGACTGGTAAACTTGTCCTGAATCTGCCCAAACTACTGATGATGTATCTTGTGTTTGTTTTTATACATATTTTTGAAATATTATTTATTTGCCTCTGTTTGATTTTTCAAAACGTGATGCATAGTGGTGGAAAAAAATCCAACCTACTGAATGGACTATTTATTATTTTGTTTAGTTTTTTTGTAATTGCTTTTTGCATCCACACAGGTTAAAGATTTTGTAAAAAATACCACAAGCCTGGCTTAATTGCTGAAAGCAATACATCGAGGTAGTAGAAGTTTCTAATGTGAATGTTATGATATAGGGCAGGGTGAACATTTTTCTCTTACATGATCACAATTTTCAATTCAATTATATTTTGTCTACGAAAAACCGCTATTGAAATTTTCATTAAAATACATACAATACAGATTTTAATCATTGCCATATAACAAACTATTCTCTGGTCCAAACTGCTAAAAAAGATCCAAGCAGATTATTGACAATTAGAAATCACTGAATCACAATTAAAATTGGAGTAATTGCACAGCCCTAATTTCATATCATAATTAAGTTCTTTTGATGTGAAAAACACCAGTATTGAAGTATTATTCTGTGAAAAAACAACATGTGAGCATGAACTGAACATACTACAGTAATAAAAAGCGAACTCTTGTGGTCGACAGCTCTTCTTTCTCTTTTTATTGATAATACTTTAACACATTTTCTTGAAGTTAGAGAAACACATGTTGCACATAAAGAGAACAGAGCAATAACCTGCAGAATAGAGAACTAGAGGAGTATTTTACAAGTTCAAACCAAACTGACAAAAAAATTAAATTACAGACAAAAATAGAAACTAGAAAAAGGCAAAAATGGTTGAAAAAAAAATTGAAACAGAAGGTAAGGTCAGGAAAGAGTGTACAAAAACCACCCAACTCAATGTTGTCAGTGCATTGTAGTCGAAGGCAGTTCAAAAGCTCCTATGTAATTCTTCAGTCTTACCCAACTGCAGAGCTACTACAGCAAGTGGAGCTCATAAGAAGAAGCCATATTTTATTTTGACCAAGTTTCATTTACAAAAGATCAATAAAAACAAGTGCTGGAAGTAGAAATTGTATTAGATTGTCTCATAGTAACAGTACTGAGCTGCTGTCCTGTGTTACCCAAGGAAACATTGTGCTGTTAATACCTGTGCTTTATATTGAATGGCAGTGCCCCCTGCTGGAGTTCTTGCTGTAATTGTTTGTTTTACTTCACTGGACAAATTGCTTTTTCGTTCTAATGTGAATACAGAAGTCAGCCAATTGCACTGACAACATAGAGCCACCATACAAGCATGCAGAATAATCATCACATCTTTATTACCATCACTGCCCCTTTAGTCATATTTAGGGCCACAGTCAATATATAAACTTTCTAAGCATCTCCTTTATATCATCTTGAGACAAAAATAGCTATATGCACTTAAAAAGCTCAGAAAATACATAGAGAAAGGTTGAGTATACCAGCATTCAGTAGAAAATGAGCAAAATTAAAAACAGTAAAAGAACAAGTGCCCTGTTGACTGCCATGCAAAGAAAATGCCAGCTACACGGCTAGCTACGTTGTATGTATTTGTGTAATACTGTGTACTTCCTTTGTTTTACTGTGAATCTTATACTGATTTTGAAGTAAGCACATAAAGAAGTAAGCACATGAAAACTGAAGGACAACACGTTTGAACTGTACATGCTGCGTATTATTCACCATTTTGGATTGGGGTCATGTTGAGTTAAGCACAAGCACGACCTCTGACCTTTCAGTAACAGACCATGACTATGTAACAATGCTACTGTGAGAGACACGTGTATTATGGCGCAGTGGTTTTTCTCCTAAAGAATGAGTGATGTACAAATGTCCTTAGTGTCCAGTTGAAGCGAAAAGGTAATTATCAAATAGTCTAAAATGTACAAAAGTACACCTAAAATAATGCCATAACATTGTAAAGCAGAAAAAGCACAAAAAAGAGTAATTCACACCAAGTTGGTCGTAACAAAAACAACACATGCAGTGTCCAAACTGGGTGCAGTCCCCCTTTAAAAACAGCCATACACAAAGCAGTGTCCCTTTAAACAATTACAGACAATACTTGTACAAGTGCATGGGCTGTACAATAAGAAAAAAAGCACACATTCAAATTAACGCTAAAATAAATAAATAAATATTCTAAATAAATATAAACCTGAGGACACCAAACCAACTACTCGCTCTTTTCAATCTTCATCTGACCATTCGGGACAAACGCTCAAAGTCTGTCAAAGGTGAATGAACAAAACAAGAACTTAACACTTAATTTACCATAATGTTACACCTCCACAGGTTTACAGTGAGGCCCTCTGGCACAAGCACTTTAGTATCACAAATCAAATACAAATATGAACAAAAACGTGATAAAACATATGAAAAACTCCAGGGCTGAATGCGGGAAACTGATATGTACTTGAAATAAAGCATTTACTTTTCTTTACCATAAACATCTTTACACATTTGCCCAAAGCTCGTGGATAGCGCGCACACACACGCACACACCAGCGCACACAGCGCACACACACACACAGTCAGATACAGACACAGCTTTGATTCTTCACCTCAGAGCCCACTGATTTTGGACACATACAAGTGCTTCATGTAATAAGACATTAGCACCATTTAAGTAGATCGATCTTTGCCACTTGTTTGTCTATTTGAACCACAAATGTGTTTTTCAGACAGCAGCTGTTACTTTTACAAAATAAAAAGTATGTTTTAACTAGTATCACCAACAATGCTGTACAACTCCACTCCTTCACACTCCGTTCAAAGTAATAACTAAACAGAAACCAGAGTCTGGAAAGGCTACAGTCTGAATATATTTCAACTCACGCTGTTAGACTTTAATTTAAGTTAATAACAATTATGGTTAAGAGCTAACGTGTGTGTGGCTATGCAGACTTCTCTATTCGTTTTATTCATTACACATCTAAATAAATGTGATGACTATTGCATGTTATTACATGTCACATTTCATGTTTCAGCACTGGAAGATACTGACCATAAATGCAAAATCCATCTGGGCATTTTTTCATTACACTTTCCCTTGACTGTTTTGAGTCCCAGACTTGTACTTGACTTGTACTTGACCTGCACATATAATGTTACTCTCACAAACACAAATGTGTAGTGCACCTCATTCAAACAGCATTAGACAATAGTAAGAAATGTGTAAGAACAATGCCAACAAACATGTTTCTGTGGGGCGCTGTTGCATACCTATCAAACAATAAGCAAATTACAAAAACTGCCAATATCATTTCCACTTAAGCCACAATAGAAAACAGCCACTGTTATTATGGGAAAACATGCTTCTTAAAAAGAACAAATAACCCTTGACTCTAGAAACCACTGGCAATAAGAATTTTGAATTATACAAATTACATATACAATTGCAAATGTGAAATTATAATAATTCTCATAATTATGATAATAGAATTATTATCATAATTATTATTATAATTAGATTATTTAATAGAATTATCTTAAAACTTTACAAACTGTATTTCCAGTGCAGTGTTTATGTCACACAAGTGTGGATGATTCACACAGACACAGGGCAGAGGGGAGACCACAGGAAGAAGGAATCACGGCGAGTGCTGCGCTCCTCAGTCTGAGGAAGAGGAGGAAGGCCGAGCCGGTCACTCCGATAGTCGCCAGGTGATGGTCAGGTAAAGGGGCAGAAGAGATGCATGCTGGGAGTTTTGACCCGTGTCGAAAAGGCCTCTGTCCCTAAAGCGACACGGCACACCTCCCTCCTCTTCTTTCAATTTTTCTTTTGTAGAGCACTCCATCGAGACACAACATGGCAATCATCCTTTAAAACAAATACAATAAAATGCACAAATTATTGTGAAATCCTATGAAACAGTATTATTATGACTTTAGTTCAGTTTGTGTCTAACATCTGCAGTCTACTGGCAGACACGTCTAGAACAGAACGCTCCCTTTGCCCAGGCCCTGGCCTGTACCTCACTGTAGCGGCGCAGCGGGTGCCCCGGAGCAGTGGAAGTGGATGTTCTGCCACTTGCTGTCTCTGCGGTGCCACACTCGAGTCTCCTCTGATTGGCTGGAGCGTGGTCGGCCCTGTCCGTCCACAAACTGTGTCAGGCGAATGTAAGCGATGCAGGCAGCGTCCTCCCCGATCAGGTGCACATGGGGGTTCAAGATGGTGGTGTGGATGGGTTTGCTGTTCTTGGCCAAAACTGCAGGAATAAACAATGGTTTATATGTAGCTTAAAGGTACACTAACTGATGGAGGATCCTCCTTCACCTGTTTGCCTACATGGAGACGTTCCTGGAGACGTTAATGTTAATTATCTGTTAATTAAAGAAAGAAGTAATAAAACTCACGATTTTCAAAGTAAAATCTGTGGAAATCCATGCCTTCTACCAAGTTTCCCAGTGCCTCTGGTTCAAATGATGTCAGCCCCGGATCACAAATCTTGCTAAACAAGAGAGCATAAGAAAACTCATGTCATTCATAGGGGCAGACACATTTTTTCAGTTTACAGATAAGTTTAATGTTTTAGTGTGGACTGTTGGCTTAATCAAAACAATTAAAGTAAGCAAGGTAGGTAGAATTTTTTTCTGCTGCAGTAGTTTTCGCCACAGGATTCAGTAACACAGGGTAAAAATAAGGACTCACGCGTAAGCTTCAAAGTCTCCATTGTTGATGGCTTCTATGAGCTGTTCTGTGATCTTGATTATTTCTTGTTTGCGGGCTGCAGAGAACAGAGTAAACTCAAATTAAAAGATGATTACATGAAATTACAACCTAGGGCTACAGACAGTTAGTAAAACAGCATTCAAAAGACATTAACTGGCTTCAGCAGCTCTATTGTCTTACACTGTTTGTTACCAAGCATTTCAGTAAAAATGAAAAGTGAAGTAACTTTCTGGTCTTGGTTAAAACATGCCATCAACACAGCCACATAAAAACAACAACTCTGGTAATTCAAATGTTATGTCCACAGGTAGATCCAAACTAACATAAGGTTGTCTTCTGAGCAGTGCAACAGTGAGTTGGTTAAATAATTTCTTCCCACACATTTAAATTCAAACAACAAGAACCCATTCTGTTACTGTAAGCCGATGAACCGGCCGGGCCACATCTGCACTGTATACTCACTCTGGGCAGAGGTAGGGGAGGGGCTGGATGGGGGCTGGGGTGGAGGTGGGGGTGTGGCGTGGGTTTGGTGAGACCTGGGACTGGGAACAGGCGCTGCATCGCTGTCAGTGTGAGGGGCCGGGGGGGCTTGGGGGGCCGCGGAGGCCGCAGGGGTAGCAGGCACCTTACGGACACTGCTAACCAAGTCTGTGAGCCTGGACACTGAGCCAGTTTAGGAGTGGAAAAGACAAAGAAGGCAATGAGGAAAATGTAAATATGTTTGAGGGTGTATTCCATCTTGAAGGGCCCACATTACTCTATTTTCTGATCTGTTATAATGTTGTTTCCCCGTCAAAAACATACTTGGAATTGTGTTTTATTTCATTCATTCATGTTTAACGCAAACTTTGCATATTTATGCTGAGTTCTTTTCTCAAACTGTAAACACTCTGTTCCACCTTGTTATGTCATGTGGTAATACAGGAAGTCCTCCAATGTGTTTTTAAATTTCATACACCTTCACTAGAATAATTTGGAATTTCCAGTCTCTACTAAACTAAAGGTAAATGTTAGGTGTTAACTTGACTTCATGACATCAGTGGAACAGACATTTTGAGCTTTGGAGACAGAATAATGTATGTAAACAGACCAATAAACCAGGGTTACTCAAACGTGTGAATGAAACAAAACATAATTCCAGGTAAGATAACAACATTGTAACATGGCTTAAAGCTCAAAAGAGGGAATTTTGAAGGACCTTTAAGAGAAATAGCGTTTAAATATGATTTGATGTAATAAAGTCATACTGTAGTTTCTATCTTAAGCCTCCTCTGTACTTACTCTGCATTGGGATGGCAGGGGTGTGTGGGGGCGAGGGGGCAGAGAAGGCTGAGGGGGGAGGGGTGGTACAGGGTCTGACCTCTCCGTCTGGGGTGGGCCCTGAACCTCTACGCACTGAGCCCAGCAGGTCAGCAAACTTAGCGGCCGCTGATTTGAGGATGAAAACAAAATATGACCACTGAGAATGACAAAACACAAATGTGACTGCAAACAACACGGGATACTGATACATGGGGTGGGCGATAATGACAAAATGAATATTGCAATATTTTTAAGGATTATCGTGCTCACAATAATTCCTTGGTTGAGGTTCGAGTATTCATGGGTTTCAGAATAACAGTCGTTACTATAGCGATTAATTATTATAGCTTTTAAATATGAAAACGTCCTACAAACAGCAAGCTGAAAACCCATGAATAGGATACCATCATGTTCTATAATTTTGTGTAAAAATTTCAGACGGTGGCAGAGACCCAACTCCATGGGAGATTTACTATTTTTTAAAGGGCGTATATTACACCGTTTTTCTGATCTACGCAATAATGTTGTTTCCTTATCTCAAGCATACCAGGAGTTGTGTTTAATATACATGTTTAAGACACAAACCCTGCATATTTATGCTGAGTTTTTCACTCAAATAGAAAATACTCTGTTGAACCTTGCAGTGTCATGTGGTAAAACAGAAGATGCTCTACTGTGCTCCACATCTTCACTAGAATCATTCGGATAATTTCAGTTATTGTGAAAAAATAATCTGTTTATACTGACATAGAAACGTTGAACTGTGTGCCAGTTTTTGGAGGCCCAGTAATTATAGAGATATTAACCTTAAAGCAGGTCAACAAATCTGCATTTTCACAGTTAAGAGAGAGATATATTTAAACCACAAATCTATCCTCCAGCTCATTTTAATCAAGGCTGTTGCGATATCACTTGAACCCAACATATTGCAAAAATACATATTGTAATATTGCATATATTCAATCCAACAATTTTGACATTCAATTGTAGAAGATATATTGCCCACTTCTAACTGAAACCACTGCAGAAATCCATAAAGCAAACACACAAAAATTAAAATGATGCAGGATTGGCTGGGTTCTCGTTTCTGATTTTAGATGGCGCTAGGGAGTTGTAGTCACTGATGGCATGGGTGAAAGGTGGGGAGGAGGCCAGAAAACAGGGGTAAAATTACCATACTTGCTACTGTGTTGAGTGTTCATCCAAAATATGTCTGATTTTTATCTTGCTCCACATAATTTGATAGTTTGAAATGTATGAGGATACAGATTAAATGACTACAGACATGATATTAGAGAATAACTAATTATCACATGTTTTAATTAGTGTAATATGTGTACATTCATGCCAAAGCTCATAAGCTCCCCATGATAGCAGACCCTACTTAGTGCAGATTTAACATTTCAGCAGCAGGGAGTTGATACACTTTATTGCCCCTGTAGGGAAATCTCTCCTTTGCGTTTGACCCCAGTGCTGTCAGGGCAAGCTGTCACAGTTAATAATATCTTTAATATATATGATTATAATAGATTCTAATACTGTTTTGCTGTGCCATTTACTGATAGCAGCTCATGCTTTTTGCACAATGTGTTTTATTTAAACAAAGGTTGATTGGGTTATGCTTATGGGTTATTGTGTTAGTGACGTAAGTAGTTTCAATATTATCATTTATCATAATATCTTCTGTAGCAATATATCACATTTGAATATGTGTTATAGTGGCAGGCCTATGGGAGTTTAATGGGAGGTGTTATGAAGCTGCAGAGGCCATGCTGACTTACAGTGCACAGCAGTGGATGCACCCTGACTCACAGACTGGGAACAGGGGCTGGACTGGGCCTTAACTGTGCAGTTTCCTATAGTAACAAACACGTAGACAGGTGATACACAAAAGACAACACATATATGAGACCATGATCGCACACTGCTATGCAAGCGTGAGATATGACACAGTTTGAATGGATTTAATTCATTGGGGACAATGCACAAAAACATTATTAACAGAATATATGCCAGGTTGTTATGGGAGCTGAGCAGTGATATGCAAGAAGTTTAAAGGGCCTATCTTGTGCTATTTACTAATTTATGTTATAATGTTTTTTCCTCGTCAAAAATATCCCAGGATGTGTTTCATTCACACATGTCTAACACACAAACCCTGCATATTTAGGTCTTGTCTTAAATAGAAAACATTCCTTTGGTTTTCTTATGTACATTAACTTCCTAGAAAGCAGCTGAAACATGTCAACAAGGTAAATACACCTCCTACTGTACTGTCTTTTAAAAGAACCAAAGAAGTTAATAGAAAACACTCTGTTCCACCTTATGATGTCATGCGGTAATACCGGAAGTGCTCCATACACCTTCACTAAAATCATTTGGATTATTTCAGCCCTGGAACTGTCCATCTGTACTGAAGTAAATTTAAGAGGTTAAAAAATTGTGAAAATTTAAATTTGTGATTTTAAACAAAAAAAGTAAAACTGTATGTATGGTTTCTATTACATGACAGTCAAATATATTTTAATTTTGAAGGTTAAATTTCATGAAACTGTTCACAAACTACAGGAATAGGGATATATATTGGACAAAAATTAAAGTTAATAAAGGATTTCAGTCATTTATAGTGTCAGTAAACAATAATTGTAAAATTGTGACAGACTTTTATATATTTTTCCGATAAATGGTTCAATTTAAAAAGGATTCACAGTCGTGCTTTTTACTGCTGAGGAGTTTTAGCTGGCCAGACTCATTGACCAATAATGGGAGAGCTGCCAAACAGCACAGAGTGGATGACAGCACTGATGGCTCTGATGAGAGATATATCTGCTCCTCATTACCGCTTATTTGTTTAATTAAAACCCTGAGAGAAGACACAACGCAGGACCAACCTAAACACTGACGAATCTGGGAGAAAATCGTCTTCTGATATATGGGAAAAAAGGGAAATTTAAGTTAATTTCCAAGTGCAAAGGCAGTGGCTTCTTTTCTATAAGAAATAGGCCAATACAACAACACAAATGATCAAAAAGGATCTACTACACAAAAAAATTATTATCATTTCATGTAAATGTCGATACTTTCAAAAATATCAATGGTCAGATCAGGCGTGTTATTGGCAATGGCGGAATGTAACAAAGTAAAAGTGATAAAGTACTGTACTACTACACACTGCATTTGAGAGCAAGCTTTCTACTCTACTACATTTTTGAACAAAACTGAAAAGTAAAGACATTTTTTATTATAGTTTGAGAGCTGCTGAAAAGGCTGGGAGGTTTATTTTACACATTCATAATTTGAGCAAACAAAAATAAACAAATAAAAGCAGCAAAGAAAAAAATGGCTGATCTAAATGGTTCTATTGTACAAAAATATAAAACACTACATTTGAAACCTTTAAAGACCTCCAAATAATTTTACTTTTTACTATTTAAGTACATTTTGAAACAGGTACTTAAATACTTTTGCTTAAGTAGATTTTGAGTACTTCTTCGATGACTGGTTTATAAACATAAATACAGCTCAGGACATCTCATTGAATTTTCAGTAATTATCACTCATTAAAAGTATGACAGTATAGAGTGACAGATGTCCAAAACCAGTAGTTACTCAGCAGTTTATTGGGTCTTTCATGGCCCTTTTGCTAACTTTTTTACAATTGTTTTTGCCAGTGTGTTTCTTTGGACATTTTGCACAGTTGTTATCACTAATGATAACCCTGTATTTTCTCATGAAATATCCAAAAAGTAAATTCACAAATGTTGAACCTGATCATTTCTATTAGTGACTAGACCCATGAACTCACTGTGCTTCAACATTTTACAACACCAACAACATTTACACAATATTAATTTTAACTGCCCCCGTCTGTTTGAAATATTACCGGCCTGTATAATGTTGTGCTGTCTTCTGAAGCCCAGTTACTGAGAATGCGTTGCAGAAGGCCCCCCAAAACACCCTACAGTAAAGCATGCTTCACTATAAAAGCAATGAGGGTAATAACACAGATATGTTGTCAGATGTTCTAAACGCCACATAGGGATAGGGTTTCAAAGCAGCTGCCCAGCACTCACTGACCCCACAAGAACCCCCATAACATCCACATGACTAAAATATTCAGCCCTAGCCCTCACTCACCTGGTTCTTGTAGTTTTCTCCACCTCCGCTAACTGCCTGATGTGTCTTAAGGCGTTCAAAACTGTGCTGGACTGGAGTTTGCCCGCGGTGGCGCTAGCAGGACAGATAGTGTAGCTTTAACTGTCCACTGGGGCGCTGGCTAATTTTAGACGCCTCCCTCTTTAGCCATGACCCTCCTCCCAAGGTGTCCGTGCCCTCTACATTTTTAACAGCGAGAGGTGGGACTCTGGGCTCCAGTGTGACAACTTTGAAACATATACCTACTGTGCATGAAATCAGTGTTTATAATAGTACAGAGTTTTTACATAGTTTTTACTTTAAACCAAGATGTAGTTTACAGATCATGGTACTAACATGCTCCAACAGTTGCCACTAATCCAATTTATCTAACTTTTTTGTCATGCTTTGTTCCTTTAATTTATGTAATTGTATGTTAATTTTGTTATGTCCTAAAGTTTGACAAGTTTGTAAAGCAACAACACTGCCATCTGTTGGACATTTGGACATTTGAGATATTTAAGTTTACAATGTAGATACAAGTTGTTTGATGTTCAAGGTTTGTAATATATTGATATTTTGCACTGTCATCATGCTGGGGGTGTACTCAGTGAATTTCTATAGCAAAATGTTCAGCAGTTACCATGGTGACATAATGCACATATTAGCAAACACTGTCACCCAAACAAAACTCAAGAAAAAAAAATCAAAACAAGTGTTCACGGTCCTGTTTTAAGTGTGTGATTTTCAACAGAAAGGTGGGAGTAAGAGTGAGACTGTTGGTTAATTCTAGCTAAAATCTGACTGTACATTTATTTGAGGGACTTGTTTAATTGTTGTAGTTTCAGATAAGTCAGTTCTTTCTGGTCAGATTGTGTTAAAATAAAGGTGAGATCAAGTCTAACTTGAGAAACAGAGCTACAGACAGAGGAATGCCAACAGTTAGCATCACATCCCCAGACAGCACAGTTGACATCAGCTGCAAAGTATCAGTACACTAGTTACAGACTGTATGAAATAAAAAGTACTACAGATAAGGTGTACGGTATGTCCAATTTGGAATGAATGCTTAACACGTACAATACATTTTAGGCCATTCATACATTAGGTTATTTAAACAGGTTAAGATAGACAGATACGGGATATAAACAGTGTAACCTTATTAAACTTCAGACATGATGTTAACATAATAGTCAGGTCACACACCACAGGCCAGATTTGTGTTGTGCCAATGAAATGGAGGCTACGGCCCATGAGACGTGAGCTAAAAACAGAGCACTTGTTACAAACCAAACTTAACTTTGACGAGACCTGGTAATTTTCTAACTCTTTCATTACCTATTTTATCTCTGACAGTACTGGTTGAATGTGTGACATGTCTGCAAAGCCTCTATGGGGAGAGGGAGATAGATGAGCACATTTTGTTCTGTTTGCTTGGCACAGAATCTCTCCATTCCTGACCTGATTTAGATGCATTGTACTCAGCCTAGATGTGAAGGCAGCACGCATGTTTAGAAAGCAAAGGCAGAAATCATTTCACTCTCACAGTAGTCTTTGCGCACAGGTTAAAGCAGGAGTGTAGTGGGCGTGGTAAGCTAGGGTACGCTGTCCAACTCTCCCAACGTGAGATATAAAAAAATAACAAATATAAAATAGCTACAACTTAAATGTCAAACCGGAGCTATTGGCAATGGTGAAAACAACCTGCAAAGGCTCATGATATCTCCAGTACTGTCCTATAGTAACCTGAGACATGAGGGGGCCAGGACTGAACCAGGACTGAACCACGTCTAAGCCAGGTCTAAACCAGGTCTAAACCAGGTCTAAACCAGGTCTAAGCCAGGTCTAAGCCAGGTCTAAGCCAGGTCTAAGCCAGGTCTAAACGAGAAAAGAGTGTCGGGATGGGCCCGGAGGTGTGCCTATGTAGGCCATTGGGTGAACACAGGCAAAAGGACTGGCTCAAAGCTCTGCACCTCACGGAGCTAAGCGCAGTCGTCGCCCAATCATGCTTTGCAGACACTCTGCTCTGTGGGCTTGGGGTTTTCTCTCTCTCTCGTTCAAGATTAGTCCTGGTTTAGACCTGGTTTAGACTTGGTTTACCTGTTTCAGTCCTGGTTTAGTCCTCTTGGTTCAGTCACGAATTGCATACCTCCACTTAAAAAATCCCCACTGCACAACTGGGTTAAAGGGCCCATATTACACTATTTTCTGATCTATGTTTTAGTGTGGATTCCTCTTCAAAAACATAGCTAGAGTTGTGTTTTGTTTCAATCACAAATGCTAAACACACAAATCCTGCATTTAGGCTTAGTTTTTCTCTCAAATGGAAAACACTTAGTGATGCCATAGAGTACAGGAAGTGCTCCACTGTGTTTTTAAACTCCACACACCTTCACCAGAATCATTTGGATAATTTCAGACCTGCAATTGCCAATCTCTACTGAGCTAAAGATAAAAGCTAGATTAACTTGAAGACTACCGCTTCATGACATCACAAAATGGAACAGAGCATTTTGAGCTTTGGCGTTGTAGAGAGACTAATAATAAAGGATTACTCAAATGTGTGAATAAAACAAAACACAACTTCAGGTACTGTATGTTTTTGATGTGCTAAAAGAATTCTAACATGATTAAAAGCTCACAAGAGTAAATTTTGCATAACATAGGACCTTTAAAGATAGGTACTGGTACTGGATATTTCTGAAGTCTGATGCAATGTCCTAAAGGTATTCCCAAACAGCAGGCGCTCGCTGTGACAAACTGCCTGGCACACTGACAGCACATGGATTAGGGTGGGATAGGGTGGGTTTGTTGTGGGGGTGGGGGTATTTGAGAGGTGCGATTCCTGGTACTGGGGTTACAACACACACTTTGGGAAAGCCAGACACACAAACAAATAAATGCCTCTTCTAAGCTATGGCCCCATACAACACTGCCACAGAATCAGGCAGTTTTCAGAAGCGCCAACAGGGGTCACTAACGGGTCACCAAAAGAGCAGGAATGCCAGTGACTAATTTAGAGTGTCACCGTTGCTAGTCTAGCCCACACATGCTGCTCTAATCTGGTTTTGTAGCTAGAATTTATCACGTTTGACATTGTAATATTTCAGGTCCATTCTGTAGTTTAGCTCAACAGAACAAACTCTTAAAACTGCACTGTAACTTTTTGTAGAGGTCTCTAGGGAGACGTTATTGTGTTGCCTGGTATGTACCACAGTATGACATTAAGCATATCTATTATCATATCTATAACAGGCAAGTAACGCCACTAGACGTTACAGGTCAGCTCTGTCGAGATTTGACCCTGCTTACAGTATTAATGCAAGTTTTTTGTAGAAACTGTAATTGTTTTAAGTGTAAGATTCAAGTTTAATGTCATACGATGGACCGTTCAAGGCAAAGCAATATCGTATCCATGGAGAAAAGCAAGTGTCACAGTGCACGTTTAAACTCTGAACTATGATTTTACAACTGGATACAAACACAACTGAACCTGGGTTTCCATTAGCTTTCATATACTGAGAACACCACATACTATAAACAGTCCTTTTGGGGTAAATGCAAGCTGGATTTGGACATACAATCTGGCAACCCAAATGTAAGAGTTCATTCTGCTTTCTGATTGGATACTCATGACATGTAAACAACAACCTGTCCATAACTAAAACTGCTTAACACTTTGAATAAACATTACAATTATTATTAAATCAGTGTTTGATTTAATTAGATTTAAACACAGTTACTTCATAACAGAATATTTAAGAGACATCATAATTAAATTTCTCAATGGTGTTACGTTTTTTGTGCGTGTTCAGAAAGTGTAAGTTAATAGTTTTGCGTAGTCTTACCTTTCACATCTTCATCCTCCACTGTGGTGTTGCTGCTGTCCGATGATTCCTGAAACAAAGAGGTGAGTTTGCCTTTGCATTGGACACATTTACTATACAGTCAGTTATAAATGAATGGAAGACAGACAGAACCAGTACGCCCACACAAACCAGCAGGTATGTTACAAAGCAGAGGAAAGCAGTAGCACCAGCTTTATCCAGGACTAAAAATATGACCTATCTGGAAATACATTAAAGGGCCTATACTACACAGTTTTCTGATCTATTTTATAATGTTGTTTCCTCATCAAAAACATACACAGAGTTGTGTTTGGTCTTTGGGCATTAGACTGATAATAATAAAGCGTTCATCAAGCTCCAGGTATGTTTTGATGAGGTAACAGCATTATAACATGACTTGAAGCTAAAAATATAGGACCTTTACATTCAAAAATAAATGAAGAAATGTGAAAATTAACTGCATTTTTCCACAAATACAGTAAAACTTAATTAGTGAAATTAAAAGTACAATATGAAACTTTTCTAGTGGGGCATATGTCACCTACTTACTTTCCATGAAGATGTTATTGTTTGGCTAGGAAAGTTCCACAGTATGTCGTTACGTATCTACCATGGAGACAAGTTATGAGTCAGATTCGGGTGGAGGTGATCCCACTCACACTAAGAATAGTTTTTATACTATTTTTGAGCATTAAAAACAGCAGTAAATGTATATATTCCTGATAGATACATTTAATGCCATATGGTGGAACATCCCTGGTAAAGCAACAACATCTCCAGCAGGTGATGGACCCCCTAAGTGAAAAGTTACATAATGAACTTTTAAAAATGCATACATTTCTACATTTCTATTTTTCATTTTCTTTTTAATCTAAAGCCCATTTCAATCATGTTCAGTCCTCCATATATCTACTCTTTTGGGCTTGCTGCTTTGCCCTATCTCACTGTCTCTTTCTCAGTTTCTCTGTGTCTCTCTCTCTCTGCTGGTTCATACAGACCTAAGCCATTGGAGCTGTGAGCTTTAAACTCCAATTAGCAGATAAAATGGGCCTAAACTCTTTGGCATGTCAAGGAGAGATGAGCAGCGCTGGCGACCTCATTAAAACTGTGTGTGATCAAGAGACAAATTACATGCACCGAAAAACGTGTTTTACAGAGACGAGATAAAGAGGAGCGCAGCACAATGATGGTGGATTACAATGAAACATGGCTACAGGTTTGTAAGGTCAGATAAAATATAATAAGACATAATTTTCTCTTTGCATAAATTAATCTATAAACTTACCTGCTAAAACAAGCCGATCATGCGAAGGCAAATATATTACAATCTGACGTCTGCATCTGACCCATCCTTCAGTGGCACTTGGTCTAATAAGCCTGGCTTATTTGGCATTTTGTTATTATGGAAGAGCTGTAGTTTCAAGTACACTTCAAGTTTAGTCAATAGACAGACCTATCTTAATGATGTACTTTTCTGAATGATTCTGTGTCACCTGCTCTTCTTCACAGAAACATTACTGCTTTTCCTGGAAAGCTGAATTGTGTGGTGTTAAATGTAGTCAGAATGGCATAATAATACTTTCCCATGGAAACAAGCAGGGCTACCAGAGAATTTACACAGAGCATTTTAAAAGGCCTATATTACTTTATTTTCTGATCTATGTTATAATGTTGTTTCCTCATCAAAAACATACCAGGAGTTGTGTTTAGTTTCATTCACACATGTTTAAAGCACAAATTCTGCATATTTAGTCTGAGCTCTTCTCTCAAACTGAAAACACTTTGTCATGTGGTAATACAGGAAGTGCTCCACTGTGTTTTTAAACTTTAGACACTTTCACTAAACTCATTTAGATGATTTCAGTCCTGACATCACGATACGGAACAGAGCATTTGAGATTTAGAGATGTAGACAGAATAATAAACCAGGATTACCCAAGCAAGTGTGAGTGAAATAAAACACAAAACTCCACCTATGTTTTTGATGAGGTAACAACATTATAACATGTCTTAAATTTCACAAAAATCAATTTTGTGTAATATAGAACAGGGGTCCCCAACCCCCCGGCCGTGGACCGGTACCGTGCCGCGAAAGTGCGAACCCCCCCTCCCGTGCGCCGTGTGGACAGTGCCTCTTCCCGTATTTCCCGCGCCTTTAAACCAGAACAAAAACCAGGATTAAAACAAGGTCTATACCATTTCTAAACCAAGTCTAAAACCAGGACTAAAACAGGATTTAACCAGGACTAAACCAGGACTAAAACAGGATTTAACCAGGACTAAAACCAGACTAAAACAAGGTCTAAACCAGGTCTAAACCATGACTAAACCATGACTAAACCTGGATTTAACCAGGATTAAAACAGGACTAAAACAAGGTTTAAATCAGGTCTAAACCAGGTCTAAAACAGGATTTAACTAGGACTAAACCAGGACTAAAACAGGATTTAACCAGGACTAAATTATGCCGTGTGGACCGCGTCTCCTCTCGTACGCCGCCGGTCTTTCAAAATCCATCCATCCATCCATTTTCGTCCGTCTTTCAAAATATTATCCCAAAAAGAGCACCCCCCTGGTCCGTGAAATATTGTCAGACATAAAACCGGCCCATGGTGCAAAAAAAGGTTGGGGACCACTGATATAGTACATTAAAGTCAGGTTTCTGTCAGTGATTTGGTGTACCTAGTTGGAGGATTAGCCTTAAGTGTTTACACTGATTGTGAAAACTGGAGAAGCTGAAGGAAAACATCCCAAACAAACATGAATCACTAACATGAATCTCAATAAAAGGTTCCTTTAAAATCCATAACTCAAACCTGGGGCTTTCTATCTTTCTGATAACTTACGTCGCATATATCTGAACAATTGAATCTTACACAATCATACACAAATTATGCAGGTTAACTCTGACCCAAACCAAACTGTTATATTCATTATTACTAACAATGTGTCTCAGGCAGGTGTGAGACAACTCGTTTCAAATGCTTTGTTAGATATGAGTCACTCAACAACCTAAATCCATGCGTTAATAAGTAGATAACACATTTCAAAATTAAAATATCAATTAATTTCCTCAACGTTACGGGGCAAACTTGAATCTTTCGTTTTCCTATCCACAGCAAAACCCAGGCAAAGAAGATAGTGTGAGCCCAGGTCACAGCACTCACACTGATGCAAAGAAGAATGAGAGACTGGTTGATAAATTGATGAAAAGAGAAAGACAAGAAGAAAAAGAAGAAACAGAGCTGTAGAGAATGCCTGGGCAGCTTGAATGGTGTGTACCTTAGTCCCGTCCACTGGGTTATGGATGACAGTTGTCTGTGGCTCCTGGAGGGGAGGAGGGGGGGACGAGTGGAGGAGCATGGCACATATGAGATAAAGGAGAAAATAGGGAGAGTGAAGAAAGAAACAAATATGACAAAAAGGTTTAAAAGTGAACAGCGAGGAACAAAGATAGTGATAATATGAATGTTAGATGAATAGAGAAAGCGCTTGTTAAAAGTTGGCAGAGGAGCAAGGCATTCTCTGAAGTGATGGAGTGGGCGGACGAGCTGAGAACTGTAATTTGAAGTCACTTGTGTTCCTCTTACCAGTTTCAAGGCAGAGAGAAGACATGGAGAGTGGGAGAAGGAGAGAGAGACGGAAAGAGAAAGAGAGAGAGAGGCAAAGAGGGAGAGAGAGGGTAATACTGTGATATCGTACCATCAAAAGTCTCACAATAATATCCAGGACCATCAGAGAGTAAAAAGAGAGACAAAAAGAGAGACACAAAGACAGAAGAGAAATAAACAGAGAGAGAGAGAGAGAGAGAGAAAGAGAGTGGAAGGATAAAGAGAGAGAGAGAAGAGAAAGACAGAGGCAGAAAAAACTGAAAGAGTATGAGACAAACAGAAAAAGGAAAAGAGAGAAGCCATTGCCCCGGGTCAAGTGTCTGCCACGAGGACGTCCGTGCTCCCACAGAGAGACCACTCTGTCAACGCCGCGGGTTAAAACATAAACAGCTCTTAAGCCTCTGTGTTTCTACACTGAGTTTAATAAAGCACACAATATCACATTTGATACACAACAGTTTGAATACTCACAGACAAAATGACAAAGAATATGTCTGGAAAGAGTAAGGACGCTGTTTCACAAAGAAAACAAAACCTCTGAAATGCCAGCAGTGTTCAGATACAGCTGAGTCACTGCACAATATACCAACATTCTCACAGTCCCTTTTGTTTCTTCTAATACACTATCTTAAGGACTGACAGTGAGTATGTGAATCTGTAGACAGTACATAGTCTTTTAGAAATTAATCTGATATTCCACACTTGATTTTCTGGGTATTTCTTTCAAAACTTAGTCTCCTTCATCTGAAACTGAATGCATATTAGCCTGCCTGCAAAAGGAACAACAATCTCAATTTTAACAGAGTTAAAATCCCTTAGCCTGCATAAGGACACAAATACAAGGTTTACTCCTTCTCAATATGGAAACGTCTCAGAACCTCCAGATTTCACTCATTAAGCTGCAAAGGCTGCACTAGTACTGATTAATGATAGACTGCAGGTTCTGGAGTTTAGGTGGTGAGAGAGTCCGTTTAGGTTTTAGTTTTAACTGGCAACCCAAATGAGAGATTCATGAGAGGCTCATTCTGACTGGGTAATCAGATTAAGAACCATAACACCAAATTATAACATAAACATATATGTCATGTGAAATGTTGCAATTAGGAATAAAACCAGTAATAAACTATATTTTTAAACTCCAAAAGCTTTCTTTAAAACTACCAAAAGATAGATCAGGTCAAATTTGAAACAAACTATTATTATATTATGCCAGTAATTCTTCAGTAAATCTTTGTAATTTGTGTTGAAAACTGCAGCCTTAAAGGGCCCATTGCACTATTTTCTGATCTATGTCATAATGTTGTTTCCTCAGCAAAAACATACCTGGAGTTGCGTTTTACTTCATCCACGCATATTTAACACACAAACCCTGCATATTTAGAAGTTCGTCCCTCAAACAGAAAACACTCTGTTCCACCTCGTGATGTCATGTGTTAATACAGGATGTGCTCCACTGTGTTTTCAAACTCCAAACATCTTCACTTGAATCATCTGGATAGTTTCAGCCCTGGAGTTTCTAATCTCTACTAAACAAAAAGGTAAAAGAGAAAGGTTTTTGAGGAGGTAACAACATTATAACACGGTTTAAAGCTTAGAGACTCAGTTTTGCATAATATAAGACCTTTAACTGAAACATCTGGTACACCTTTCCCTGTAAAACTGCCGTCTCTCCTCACAGCTGTCTGCAGCCTGACAGGATGTGCTGCTTAGAGCTCTGAGTGACAACCACTGTGCCCCCTCTCTCCGCTGCTCCAGACCCCGTTTCCAGGAAGTGACACCTCTGTGATGACCAATCCTCCGCTGTCTCCCCGATGAAGATGCTGGGGTTGTCAGAGCAACTGTCACCCAGGGCAACGGGAGCTGCAGCCAGAGATAATGCAATACAAGAGAACAAAGTATAGCTATATTCTGCAGATTAGGAGAGGGGGCCAAGGCTGATGACATCATGTAATATAGACAAAAGGTCTCCAAGATCAATCACTTTTTGAAAAACCCAATGACCAGAATTATTTAAGTAATATAATTGAATCTGCAAACAACAAAATATGATGTCTTATAATGTAAAAACATGCTCACCTTGTAGTTTAAAGCTCCACAAAGGTGTTCTGAAATGCATGTTTCTTCTATTAGTTTAGCAGTCAATATTTCAGTATTTCCTCAAAGGTGAATGCTTCTGGATTTAATGGTAATCTCATTGTTTGAAAATTGCAGTTAGGTATTCATCTAATATTATTGAGCAATATTAGACAACCAATCAAATCACACATAATTATTTCATATAGATTAAATCAACAGATCAATGTAGATCTAAATAGTAAAAAGAAACAGAAAATTGCATTTTCTTTGTTCAAATCACAAAATTTTGAATAAAACATTTGAGAAGACTGAAATATTCACTGTTAGACGAATACAAGAATCCCATGCATTTCAGAACATGTTTGTAGAGAGCTAAACTACAGGGTTAGCAGCTTCTCTGCATAATAAGACCCCATGTACACTGGCTATTTTGTTTTCTGCAGAGTACATGACATATAGCTAAATAATTGCAGCCTTTGCGATCAAGATTACAAAGAAGCCCCAGCTGTAATTATAATGCCATATAGATGCATACACAATTTAGTGAGTATTTCAATGTTCATTTTAAAATGCCCTACATAATTTTAAATCCTATATCGATATATTTTATTTTGAACTACTACTATATCGACTTCAAAATATGATAGCTGGAAAAATATATTTTGGATGCTCAATATGTATCGTTTTTAACATGTGAATGAAACAAAACTCAACTTTACGCATGTTTTTGAGAAGGTAACAATGTTATAACATGACTTCACGCTCATAAGAGTCAATTTACGTGATATAGGACCTTTAAAGCTGCAGTATGGAATCAGTAAAATGCATATATGATATCCTTCAGACTAACTTTCTTTCTCAAATAACCGCTCTTGTAAATACATCAAATAAACTAGCAGAAATACTATAAACGCAGGCCTATCCAGCACATATAAGAAAATAGAAATGCAATGGTTATAATCTGAGCAAATGTGAAATTGTTGCTCACGTGCCCATGAGCTACACAGTAAATAGCTGACGTCCCTGGCAACAGCTTTGGAGATCAGAGCAGCCTTCCCACTCTCTTATCCCTTCAAGGAACAGAGAAAAGCTGTTGTTGCCTCAGCGGATGTGCCCACTCTTCTCTGCACACTTGTACGCAGCACCATATTAAATCCAGATTAAACACGAATGGGCTCACGTTGCACAGGCAGCAAGGAAGAACATTTTTGAACTAATATCACTAACATGCACATGATATGAAGAGCTGGAGGAACTGGAAGAGAACATGATTGTTGCTCAGATGCTTGTTAATTCTTTATATATGTGCATGTGTTTTGCAATAGAAAAACTGAGGGAGGAAAAATATTGTCTTTCTATTGTCTGTCTGTCTGTAATAGAGTTAAAACTTTGCAGGAAAAAAATCTATTTTTGGTGTCTAAATGTCTCATGTCTTCCTAAAATTAACAAATACATAATAAATACATGAATAAATACAAAATTAATTGAAAATTGTAATGGATGCAAAAATGTGGATATGATTTGGGGAAAAATATCACATTTTGCAGATTTAGTAATTCCAATTAATCACAAATAATGTGACATGGCTTTACAAATGTCTGTAGGGGTATTGATTTCTAAAAGTAAAAAAAAAAAAACTTTAAAAAACTAGTCATCTTCCAAATCAAAAGCAAAATTAATTCTTTGCAATGAACTATTTTTTATTCAATTCGTAATTATTTAAACCAAAGCCAATTAAGTTGTAGCCTATGTCTCCTGATTAGGGTTGCACCGATCCGATACTGAAAATTTCCTGGATTGGATATCAGATTCCATCTATTTATTCGATATCCTGGTTGAACATATAACTTGGTGTAATAATTAGTTTCATAATGTTTGAACTTTCATTTATACACATTTGTTCTGTGGTTATTTGAGATAAATAACAACTACCACACACATTTGGATCAATTCTGTCTAATTTTATTTTTGTTTAAAGGAAATAAATGCCTCTGCTCTGGTATCAGTTGATATTGTCAGATGCTTAAAACTACAGAATTGGAAATGGTATTGAAACTGAAAAAGCTGGATCGGTGCATCCCTTTTCCCTACTCCTGATTTATCATGCACCAACCACCAACAAACTACTCTGCTGATGTGAAAATCTATTCTCTTAAAAACAAATAATAAATAATCAACAGTGAGCTTAAGAGAATGGCTTAGCTGTTGCCACTTCCTCGTGACAGACACATTGTCATGACATGCCTGGAGCTCTGGAGCTTGTGTGACAAAGTTATATTTAGCCCGAGCAGAAGCAACACGTAAAGGAACGCTCCTCCAAGTCTTCAGCTGTGTGCATGTCTAAGTGGGTGAAGTCATTAGCTGGGCCTTGGACTTCCTCTCATGGACAGCTATTTATTCCTGAGCAGCTTCTAGCCCAGGCTTATATAAATGGCATAGGAGTGGATGGAGTAGTAGACTAATGCAGTTGTTCTGCTCTAATAGCTGTGGTGGGGTTTTAGTGAGGCTGGCAGAGATTACAGCTAAATAAACAATTCATTCTTTGAATCTTTTTATAATAAGTACATTTTAATTAGCCTTAAAGGTGCATTGTGTATGTTTTCAGTTGAAAACTTTCTAAAAAAATTAAAAAAAAATTGCTGTTCAAATTAGGCCTTTTTAAACATATTTTCAAAATTAACTGCTAGTTTTGGCCTCTGAAAGTTTTGAAAAGTTCTTATAAAGTCATTGCAGTAAATATTTAAAATGCTTAAGTGCAGTAGTTAAGTGAGCATAATTAGACTTGAGTTTATAGTTTGGGCTTTATGCAGTTCTTATGACAAGTATACGTCCTGTTTCCATTAATAAATAAAATAAAAAGGAAATTAAATTTTCTGGACAGAATTTTAAGAACAAGATAAAAAGATATTTATGTCTCACAATGAGGAAGTGGCAGACATAAATACATTTACAGTAAAGAAAAATATGTTATTCCTGAATAAAATTATGCAGTTGCACAATGTTGTATTTTATTGTAATACCTTCTAACTAATACCTTAAAGGGCCCATATTATGTTATTTTGTGATCCATGTGTTTTGTTTCATTCACACATGTTTAACACACAAACCCTGCACATTTAGAATGAGTTCTTCTATCAAAATGAAAACACTCTGTTCCACCTTCTGATGTCATGTGGTAATACAGGAAGTGCTCCACTGTGTTTTTAAACTCCATAAACATTGAGTAGAATCACTTGGATAAATTCAGCCCTGCAATTGACCACCTCTTCTGAACAAAAGGTAAAATGTAACTGTTAACTTAAAAACTACCACTACATGACATCACAAGGTGGAGCAGAGCATCACTCAAACATTTGTGAATGAAACAAAACACAACTCCAGATATGTTTTGATGACGTAACAACATTATAACATGACTTAAAGCTCAAAAGAGTCAATTCTGTGTAATATAGGACCTCTAAGAATTTTCAAAAACACATAAAAGATACACTTATACCTTTTATATTTTTTACTTTTCTCCAGTATAAGACGTAGACATATCATAACCACGATCCCTACAGGAGCTGTCTGTCTGCTCCTCTTCACCAAATGTTCGCTCAGCCCTCCACACAACAGCAGTGCACTCATCTGAACTGTGTCACACTTAAACATCTCCACCTGTCAAAGCCAAATATTCTATAACACCACCTGCTGGTTCTTCTAACTGCTGTGGAGCAGCACATAGGCACAGACAGGCCCATACGAACAACTGGTAAAGCTGCACTATGGAACATTTCTGCTAGAGGGTCTGTCACCTGCGTTTTTATGGAAATGTTATTGCTTTGACTTTGACAGTATAGAATTGAACATATCTGTCTCTGTTATATCTTGAAGACTTCAAAAGATATAAAATTATTTAGTTTAGAATTTATTTATTTATTTTTTTATTACTATGGCAACCAAGTTAGATTTTCAGCCATAGACTGTATAAAGAAGTGGACTAAGGGAGTGTGATGTTACCCATAGAGTTCAGCTCCAGTCAAATGAAGCTCATGAGGTTGGCAGTTCTAGGGGTGACTTTGGAGCTGAGTTTCAGATAAAAATAGGAATTTATTAACAAAAAAGCCAAATAAAAACACTGCATCAATTACAGAGAGAGAGGAGTGACAGTTTTTCAATGCAGTCAATTTGAACCAGTGAATTTTTTGGACCATTTATATATATAGTCTACATTATCATCTGTATCATCAACTGTAACTGAATGAATGAATTAATGTAAGATAGAGTTTAATGCAATACTTGGAACATTTCACATTATCAAGGAGGCTAGCAGGTGACCATCCCTACTAGAAAAGTTACACGGTACATCTTTAATGCACAAGAATAGCAGGTAAAGGGAGGGAACAGGAGGGTGGGTGCTGGAGGATGAGGATACAGAGAGATATGCAGAGTCACAGACAGACTTAAGACACAGAGGTGAGAGGAAGGAGGCGGTAAATACCAGAGCAGGTGAAGGGACGTTTCCTTTGGGGCTGGTGACTATGCTGTTTTTGGTGCTGTTTGTCTGGGGCTGAAGGAAAGAAGGAGAGAAGGAGGAGAGGGAGTGGAAGGGGAGGAAAAGGTGATGGGGAGAGGAGAGGCGGAGAGGAGTTGGAGAGGGAGGAGAGAGGGAGGAAAGAGGAGAGGAAGAAGGAAAGGAGACACAGTGTTAACAACAGCAAGGAATCAACAAGAGACAGGTCATGCAAGTAGCAACAGAAATCAACCCACATTGGATACATTATAAGAGACACTTTTATTCTCCGGCTTTTAACACTGTGTGAGTTGTGTCGTCCTATTGTTTCAAGACTAGTATGATCACATTTTTAACAATTATACCTTTTGTTGTTTTCTTTTTATGTTCTCCGTGCAGCACTTTGCGAACGGCTTTGTTTGTAAAAGTGGATTTGGATTTGAATTTTAGGCTCTGTTCACACTTGTAGTGGAGCTGTTAAGGACCAAAATAGTTTGCTTTTATGGTACAAGCATGAAACTTTGCCAGATTAGTTACACCCCCAGGACTAATATTTCTGGATATGGAACCAAGTCCAATTTAACACTGGAGCTGAGAACTGCACGTCACAAAATGGACTATATGAAAACGAGGCTGGCATAAAACATTCTACCTAATCCCTTTCCATAAGAAAGGGATTATGCATATATATATATGTGTGTGTTAGAAGAACAGAAAAAAAGTGCATTATGTATGTTTTCAGATGGAGGGTCCTTCAAATGCTTTTTTCATGTTGATGTTATTGCTGAGAATGCCCTTCAGAGAGAGCACTTTTCATATAATTTCTAGGTAGTCCATTTAATGACCTTGTGGCACTAAAAGTACTTCAGACTACAATTTTAATTACTTCAATTACTTCATTGTCAGCAATGAAGCTCTTTATGTGTATTGACGATATGTAATATCGTCTGTAGCCTTCTGACTGTGCTATGAAAAAACAATATAGGATTATACTACTTATTTTCCAGTACCACACATATGATTCTAAATTAGACATAAGACAAGATATTTTTACATTATACCTAATTATTGAATTTCTCTCATAGTTTGAGTTATCACATGAGATTCAATAATTTTATTTTTTTTTCTGCACATTTTTGGTTGAAATTTTAGTTTAAAAAGGTGCATTGTGTAACTTTTCTGGTGGAGTGTGGAATGTTTCACACTGTTAAATCTTTCTATCATCATGGAAACTAAACCAGACCAAGTTGCAGGTCAGATCTGTGGAGAGGTGACCCCGCTCACAGTCAAAATGTCTATTTTTCTAAGTATTTTTAAGCTGTAAAACCACCCGTAATTGGATACATGTAAAGTAGAATGTAATGCAGTACTGTGGAACATAATGACCTATCCACAGAAACAAGCAGGTGGCAGACCCCAGACCAAAAAGTTACATAGTTCACCTTTATGTTTTATGCCGCATTGTCCAGTTGTAGTTCAGTCTTAAATGTCCTTAATAGCTCCACCATTGATGGCAGTTTAGTCCTGATGTAGTCTCGGTTTGGTACTGGTTGTAGTCCAGGTTTAGTTTTGCTTTTTTGGTGCTCACTCTGCCTCACAAAACCACTTGTCCTTTCAAATAATCTTGATTTCAGCCATGACTGAAAATAACTACTCTTTTGTAATCAAGCAACCCTATTTTATTTGCCAGCAAGAAACAAGTTTATTTTCACAAGGGATTTTCAGTAGTTTAAAAAAAAAGTTTAAAACGTCAATAAAAAAAATAAAAAATACATGAGTGAGAGATGTTATTATGAATGCGACTGATGTTGAATATATCTTAAGCTGTTTTTATCTTTTCCATGTCAGTAAAAAACACTAAATATATACACTTTACTTACATACTTACGTACTTATGTTTTACCTTTAGAATCACCTGATTATGAACATTATAGTGTAACTTGTTGATCTCTACAGACAGACAAACAAATCTGTCACCTTTAAAGGCCTTCATCAAATTCTGTTTTGAGGGCCTTACATCAAAGAGTGAAACATCTTTATTCAAATCGACTTCTATAAAAATCCTCATCAGCTTTGAATAAAACGACACAGCCCAGTCCTAAATGTGGATGCAATTTACTCAATTTATGCACAGCGAGCTCTACGAGCTGTCAGAAGTCAAGATTTATTATAGATATTTGTCATCATATTTTTTCTCTTATTAATAAACAAAATATTGATACTTTGCAGCTGATGTCGTCAACATTCTCTGGGGGTGTGAAGCTAACTGAAGGCACTTCTGTGTTAGAAGCACTGTTACTCAAGGTAGATTTAATCTGAGCTTAATATTAACACAATCTGATCAAAGAAAGGCGATTTGGTTGGAACTACAAAAGGTGAGCTGATCTGTGGTATTAAACAAGCCTCTCACACATAACATTACAGTCACACGCTTTTTTCCAGCTAGTCACTCAAACACCTAAACAGGACCATGAATACTCGAATTGATCTCAGGATCCTAAAAATTAGGGATGTAACAATAGCTGAAATATCATGATATTGTATTGTCAAAGTTCTACCAATAATATCGTGGACCATCACAATATCGAATTACAAGTGTCTTTGATTTAAGAATTATGGTGCAGAAATAGCTAAAAAAGACAGATGGAACTACATAGACCATGATCCTTTGCTCCATTTCAGTGCAGACTACATGAAGAAATAACAGTTCTAAGAACTTTTAAATCTTAGTTCTTTGGATTACATCTTGTCAAGACATTTTAAGAGGAAAAAGTAGCATTTTTGCTGTTTAGTCTCCACAAAATAATGCAATAAATATCACATGTATCATATGTACATCGTGAAAATATCGTACCGAGAGATTTGGATATTGTTACATCCCTAATTGTGATACTCCCCACCAAATCGTGAGCTTTCCCACGATATTGCAATAAATATCGTACCGTGAGGTTCATACCGTGACGATATTGTATCGTGAGACTTGGATATCGTTACACCCCTACTAAAACTTTAAACTTTTTTTGTCTGCGTTGTCTGTGCATCGTGTCTCCATAGTAAATTCTGAACATCCTAATATATACACATACATGTAGAACACCCCCAGCATGATGTCTCTGTAAAGTATCATTACAACATAAACTTTTGATACATGTAATTGGATATGTGATGTAGTATAATTTGTAAATGAAATATAAGGAGTATAAGGACACTGTCAAAATATTACACACTCATATTCTCAAATATACACACACAAATTTAAGTAAACAAATGTACTTTAAAATTATTCTAAGCATTTGTATAATAGATTGTAGATCAGTATAAGAAAAAAAAAACCTTTATATTTTTCCATGTAGAATGCATCTGTACCCAGTAAATATATTGTATGAACAGTTCTTGGTGCGAAAATAAGTTTGTAGTGTACTGTCTGCATCTCATTACAAAGCTTTTTTTCCTCCTGAGAAGCAGGAAGTGCACAGTTACCATACTAGTTGTTGTTTCTATAACGTTAAACTCTGCTTTTGTCTCTGAAATGTGTGAAATGCACTTATGAACTCATTGCAGTAGCCTTTTTATACACTTGTTGCTATCCCAGAAACTAAAGATATGAGAATTTTCACAAAAATAGTCTAGTACAGTAACGTCTAGTACATAGTCTAGTACAGTAACGACTGAGGCAGTAAATAACAGATATTAAGTTAAAGTTGCACTATGTAACTTTCGTTGCTTGTCTCCATGAAGATGTTATTGCTTTGCTTAGAGTGTTCCATGGTATGTTTTAATTTAATGCCATACTCTGGAAAACTCAGACAAAGCAAAAACATCTTGATAGAGACAAGTAGGGACAGAATCTCCAGTGGAAAAGTTACATACTGCAGTGAAAAGTGAAAGGGAAAAAGAAAGAGAAGATTCATGGTGGATTCGCTGAAGATCAAGAGAGTGGTGAGCAGTTTTTCAAATCAAACAAAAATAAAGAAAAGGGAACCCTTAAGGGAAAAAAGAGGGGTACTATTAAGTTCCTTTAAAATCAATAAAAGAACCAACATAATAACTGACAAGTCATCCGATAAAATTGGTGTATGAATTTGAGACTGGCAAGGGATAGTGGTGGAGCTTAAAGCAGGTAAAGGAGAAAAAAGAAGGAAAAAATGAAAGAAAAACAAAAAATGACACATAGCTCACCATGTACTGCACAGTGGAGCTGGACTTGCGTTTCTGTCCCAGTGATGAATGGATAATGTTACAACAGCGTGTCAAAAATGGGAAAAAGAAAGTAATGATGATGATAGGTGAATACAATGATACAGATGCATATTTAGTTCAGAACATTTGTTAAACTTCACCATCTTCTTTTAATATCTAAATCAAGACAAGACAACTTCTCAACTTGGTAGTTCCAAAGTTTGAAATGAAAAGTTAGGTTGTGCAAGAGGAAAAACTAGATAGCAGACATAACAAGCAGGAAGCCAAAAAAGTAAAAAGGAAGAAAGATGATTGCAAAAAAGTAAACACCAAGATATTGTTTGAAAGTTGTAAGAATGCTGTTTAGTACAGTGTTTACATTGTCAGAGTCTAAAGGATAAAGCCAGAGGAGAGTTGCAAGAATGGAAAGTAACTGGAAAGGTTTAGCAATGGTGACTAGGGATACGCCAATCTAATACTGGTATTGGATATCGTGCAGATACTGGAAATTTTTCTGGATCGGATCTCAGCTTCAAAATATCGGTTAAGCCGATATCCTGGTTGGACACAAAAATTTATGTAATATGACTCTTTACTGATTGTGGTACTGAACGTTAATACAAAGCTGTTCTGAAGTTACTCGACAAGTAACACATTTGTATCAGTTATATCTTACTTTATTTGTGTTTGTTTGTTAAAGAAAATAAATGAATAAATGTTTTCAGTCTCTGTATTGGTGTGGGTTAATGTTGAGTATCAGAATCAGCATCGGAACTAAAAAAGATGGATTGGTGCATCTGAAGTGTTGAGCAAGAGTCACTAAACAAAAATGGAAGTAGGCTGCCTGATTGCCTGATAAGAAAAAAAAAAAAAAAACCCAGAAGGTCTGACATAGTAAAAAAAAAAAAAAAAAAAAAAAAAAAAAAGTTAATGTTAAATGTTAAAATTATAATTATACTTTAAATACTTTCTAACAAACTAAAATCAATTTTAAAAAGTAATAAAAACAATTTTAAAGTCATATTAAAGGTACACTCTAATTTTTATTTGCAGGTGGAGGGATGCCTAATTGTCTCCTTGGAGATGTTACTGCTTTCCCTAAACTGCTCCACATTACAGTATTAAATGTTAATGCTATACTGTGGAACATTCCAGGCAAAGCAAGACCATCTCCTAAGAGACAAGGAAGTAAACTGGAATGTTATTTTGTGTACCTTTAACAGAGAATAAACCAAGATGTAATCAAGGCTAAATTTGGACTAATTCATAAAATAAACTGAAATCGTACACTTGAACCCTGCTCCCCAAATAACATGACTGTCTCTCCGTTATTACAATATATTTAGTCACTTGCACTATGAAGATTTTGTGCTATGTGAATGTGGTGAATGTGAATTACATTATAAATCTGAGTTGTGCAGCCCTAAAAAGCAGAAAAGTAAAAAGGGGTCTGACATGGAGCAGGGGGTCTCAGACAACAAAAGAACACTGAAGGAATGGAGAAGATAAGAACTACCCAAAGAGCGGAAGTGAGAGTGAGAGAGAAGGCGTCTTTGGAAGAGGTTTGGGGCGAGTGTGTAGGGAGCCTGTTGCTAGGCGATGAGGCAGTGCAAGTACAAGACTATTTCTGTCATCCGAGTTTCCAGGGTCCAGACCGGCAGCTATTCCTGGATCGGAGAGTCGCATTCCCGGCTGTACCGAGCTCCGAGAACGCACACAGCTGCATAGGGAGAAGCTAACACATGCACGCGCAGTTTTCTTGTGGCAAATATTTGTGATTAAAGGGCCCATATTATGTTGTTTTCTGATCTCTGTTATAATTTTGTTTCCTCGTCAAAAACATACTTGAAGTTGTGTTTTGTTTCATTCACATGTTTAACACACAAGTCCTGCACATTTAGGCTGAGTTCTTCTCTTAACAAACAAAACACCCTGTTCTACTATGTAATGTCATGTGGTAATACAAGAAGTGCTCCAAACTCTATACATTTTCACTAATCATTTGGATGATTTCAGGCCTGGAACTGTCAATCTTTACTGAACAAAAAGTTGAAAGGTAGTTGTTAACTCGAAAACTACTGCTTCATAACATTACAAGGTGGAATAGCGCTTTTTGAGCAGAGAGGTTAATAATAAAGGATTACTCAAACATGTGTGAATGAAACAAAACACAACTCTGGGTATGTTTTTGATGTGGTAACAACATTATAACATGGCTTAAAGCTCACAAGAATAAATTTTGCTTAGTATAAGACCTTTAACTGCAGAGGTTAGATTACTTGTTTCACTAAAATATAGGTAATAATATTTCAGACACTAAAATCTTTTTTTCTAGTATATTATTTTGGTGAAGTTTATAATTGTACTTCCTGGTTGGACACAAACAGCAGATGTGACATACGTAGAGGTATGTTGAAGAACTGTTCCCTAACAACCATAAAGTTAACAAGGGCCAAAACTTACTCAGATAAAGGTCCTATAATACACAAAATTGACTCTTGTGAGTTCTAAGCCATGTTGTATTTGTGTTACCTCACCAAAACATAGCATTGTGTTTTGTTTCATTCACACACGCTTGAGTAACCCTTTATTTTTAGTCTGTTTACATGCTCTCTTCCACCTTGTGATGTCATTTAGTGGTAGTTTTCAAGTTAACAGCTGCCTTTAGTTCAGTAGAGATCGGCAATTCCAGGTCTGAAATTATCCAAATGATTGCAGTGAAAGTGTATGGAGTTTAAAAACACAGTGGAGCACTTCCTGTATTACGACATGACATCACAAGATGGAACAGAGTGTTTTGAGAGAAAAAAAATAAGCCTGAATACGCAGGGTCTGTGTGTTAAATGTGTGAATGAAACAAAACACAACTCCAGGTATGTTTGGGATGAGGAAATATTATAACATAGAACAGAAAAGAGTGAAATATGGACCCTTTAAACCATCTGAAAACGTGTTCATTGTGAGTAAATTGTATCTGAATTTTGGATAGACTTTTTTTGCAATTTGTTTGTGTTTCATTTCAGATTTCATAGCTACTTCCTGTATTTTTGTACTTTTCTTCTCAGCCTGTTTCGCCACCAAACCATGTAATAATTAGGAAAACATGAAAATTTGCACTTTAAAGAGTAGAAACTAGGCTTAGGCACATGATGTACGGAGCTAAGAAAAGCCACGGAGACTCGGGTGGTGGTAGTTGTGGAGATGGTGCATGCGCGATGGGGATGTTGAGTGGGATGTGTTACCGCGGCGATGTAGATGTGCAAGCGTGGGATGCACCGAGGGTTTCGTTAAAGGGACAAACGAGAAGAGAGGCAGGGACGGGGTTAAAGAGCAGATGGGGTGAGTAGGGAGAAGGAAACAGAGAAGGAGAGGGAGAGGGAGAGAGAGAGAGAGAAAGGCAGAGAGGGAGTGAGAGCAGATGGAATGAGTAGAGAGAAGGAAGTAAAGAGGGGAATAGAGAAAGAGAAAGAGAAGGGGGGGGCAGAAAGAGAAAACAGGAGAGGGAGGGGGGCAAAAGAAAGAGAGAGCAGGGATGGGGATAAAGAGCAGATGGGATGAGCAGGGAAAAGGAAGTATGGGCAAGAGAGAGGGATGAATGTATATAGATAGATGGGCAGAGAGCAGAGGGAAGGAGAGAGAGAGAGAGAGATAGGGTGGGGATGAAAAGAGAACAAGGATGAGTGCGGGGTTAAAGGGAGAGAAGGGGCTAAATATTGACAGATAAATATTGAGATGATATAGATGGAGGGATGAAAGACCAGATGGGATGAACAGGCGAAGGAAAAAGTGAAAAGGAAGCAAGAAAAAGAAAGAAGAGAAAGAGGGGGTAAGAGAGGGAAAAGTAAAGCAGATTGGCTGAATAACAAGAAGCGAAAGAGATGTAGAGAGAAGAGAGAGGGAGAGAGAAGAGAGAGGGGAGATTCAAGAGCAAATGGGTTCAGTATGAAAAAAGAAAGAGAAAAAGAGAAAGAGAGAGAGAGGTGGGTTAAGACCAAAAGGAGTGGTAAAAGAGAAATGGGGTTAAGGGGGAAGAAGAAAGTAGAGAGAAAGAGGTGGAGAAAAGAGAGTGAGAGAGCCAGAATGAGTACAAGGGTAAAGACCAAATTTGATGAGAATGAAAAACGAAGCAGACAGATGGATAGATCGATAGATAGATCAGGGAAGATGAAAAAGAGAGAGAGGCTGTGGATGGAGAGAGAGAAATATTGTATTGATAAAGATGCACATCGATACAGTATAAAAATAAAGCTCTATAGAAAGAGAGAAGAGAGAGAGAGAAGGGATGAGATAGATGGAGAGAGACAGAGAGGGAGAGGAAGAGAAAGAGAGAGAGGATAAAAAGGGGTTTAAGGAAGAAGAAGGAAGTAAAGAGAGAGGTGGAGAAAAAAGAGAGCACAAGTAAGCAGACAGATAGATCGATGCACATGTAAACTCGCCAGATTTACTCTGTAGGTAGATAGAAATATAGAAGACCAGATTAGATATAGATAGATAGATAGATAGATAGATAGATAGCAAGGAGGAAGGGAGTAAAAATGTAAGAGGAGAGGAAGTGATGGAGAGAGAGGCAGCGTGGCACAGATGGTTACGCTTGATAATGGTTACAGATGGAGAGGTGGCAATGAGCTGAATAATGCCAGAGTTTAATAAAAGAAAAACGCTCAGAGGAAGATGTGTTGTAGATGAAGTTTCCCTAGCACACTGAGCAGATCTTAAAACTAAAATTTACTATAAAATTAGTATTAATTTTCTACAATAGCTACTTGGGTGTTACACTTTTGATCTGCCCAGGATGTAGTATCAGGAGAGCAGTGATTTTCTTACTAACTTTGCACAGAATTCCTGTCCATGAATTTCTGTTATAAAATAATTACTATATACTATTTACATATTTTTGAGAAGCGTTGAAAACAGAATTATATCCATTTATTGATACTATGCAATGACATCACGCTGGGGGTGTTCTAGATACATATTCGCAAACACTAGGGTGACCAGATGTCCCTATTTACCCGGGACAGTCCCAGTTTTAAGACCAGGCCCACGTTTCAGCAAATTTATCCTAAACCGGTGATTTGTCTCAGTTTTATACAAGAAATGCCCCAGATGTCCCTATTTTGATCAATTTGTGGCCTATTATAATTTATTTATATTAAATGCAGAAAACTGTGCTTAAGGATATATAAAACAAAGAAAAAAAAGCACCAAGTCCCTCAGATTATGACTGACACTATTTCATTTCCACCCCAACTTGGGTGTGTTCCAGTTTTTCATTTTGAAAATCTGGTCACCCTAGCAAACACTCAAAAAGCTTTTAAGAGCAGATTTTTTTTTTTTTCTTTTAAAATGAACAACACATTTTCCGGAGCGTGTGATCAATAGAAGCATTCATGGTCCTGTTTTAATGCACTGCTTTCAGTAAGCACCACACCCCAGAGAATGTTGATGACATTAGCTGCAAAGTATCAATTGATATTATTATTACTTTTTGAATTAAACATTGAAGATTTGGTTATTTTTTTAAATAAAGCAAGACATACAGTTTCGCATTTATAACAGAAAGGTTGACGTGACACTAGATTTTACGTCCGTTTTGGAAAACAACCCCTTATCTTTAAATAGCCAAACATGACAGAGCCACTCTAGACTGCATAACAGAACCACAATTTACAACACAGAATGTACATCATAAGTTAAAGAGAGGCTCAAAGTTCACAGTTCAAAGGTGAAATAGAGAGTACGTACAAAAAAAGAGGTATATGTGTGACCCTTACCTTGACATCTGCCTTTTTGTTCAGTAAAGTCTTGGCTGCTGTAATGATAAGAACATAGCAAATGTTAGAAATGTGATAAAACCAGTAACTGTGGTTTAACATCTGTATTTCATTATAGACAGAAAGAGCTCTGTGTTTGCTGACCATTTATTACTAAATACTAAGGAAAAAAATACTGTCTATACAAAACCATTTAGATACACAATGAACTGTACTAAACAAATGTTGACTTTAAATTATTGTCTTAAATCTTGTTTATGATAACCATTACGTAAAAAATTGTGCAAAGACTGAAAGTACATACGTCTGTCATTAAAACACCAATAATGAATAATAAAACTAGTCCAAATATATTTATATATATGGGACAACACGGTATGGATAAAAGGTGAAATAAGATATTCTGGACTGGTATACATTACAAGAGACTGAGTAGTTTTTTCATGACCAGTGCTAATACCCACAGTTTAAAATACAGGGCCAATATTGATTATTTTTTGGAGCCGATACTGATTTTTTCCCCCCTAAATCATGTAATTTAGATTTACCACAAACTCACCCACAGCCCTATTTATTTATTTATTTTTTTAACCATAAATCACAAACCAAAGTGAAAGATTTTGCACAGCGATCTCTGAGTTAAGCTAAAGCTTTGTGTATTTTTTAGGCAGCAAATAGACCAAAACAGCCTGTGCTAGAGATTTCAGGGCAATGGCCAATACACTAAAAGTCCAAGTATCGGCCTGATATTCAGCCAATTGATATATCCATTTATCTCTATATACAAAAACTATAATAATGATTTTAGACTGAAAAATAAAATCTACAATATTTCCTTTAAATCAACATAAAATAACTACATAAAAAGATTATATAATATGTTTATTTTAAAGTCAACAGTTCTCTCTTTAAGTTATAGACCCAAGTTATAGACCCATGTAGTTAAGACCCATTTGAAGTGGCCCTGGTTTCGCCATGTGCTCTGATTGACATTAATATAACCAAACTTCCAGAGCTCAAATTAGTGCTGAAGTGCATGTCCAGAATTACACAGGTGTGACTCATATCTGGCACTGGAGCAAAAACTTATTTGGATTTGATGTGAGGGAAATTGGACCCAAAATTGGATATTGAAGAGGTAATATTAATAAAAAAGGACGTTGGCAGGCGTCAAGAAGCAACAAAAGTTAACTTCTTAAACAAGTTTCTGATAAGATCGTGTCAAACTTCTATTACATAAAGGTGAGTATAATTATGCATTTCATACAGAATCTCAATGTACAAGCAAAATGCAAAACAAAACACCTTTACCTTGGAAAAGTGATTTTTATAATTGATTATTAATTTGTTCAATATGTAAAATTGTTAATTTCTATAGTTTAAAAGGCCCATATTACACTATTTTCTATTCTGTTATAATGTTTCCTCTTCAAAAACATATCTAGAGTTGTGTTTTCATTCACACATGTTTAACACACAAATCCTGTATATTTAGGCTGAGTTCTTCTCTCAAACAGAAAACACTGTTCCACCTTGTGATGTCAAGTGATGTAACAGGAAATGCTCCACTGTGTTTTTAAACCCCATACACCTTCACTAGACTAATTTGAATAATTCAGTTCTGGAATTGTCAATCTCTAGGAAACTAAAAGTAAAAGGTAGCTGTTAACATTAAAACACTTCATGACATCACAATGTAGAACAGAGCATTACAATGAGTCCATAATAATGCCCAAAGACAGGCCCAAGTAACATTAATGGTTCCTATGGCTACAGCAGTTTTTATGCACATCAATCATCTGTAATTTATCTTAATGGGCAGCACTTTTAGTAGCAATCTTAAATAAAATACGTCAGTTTGAACTTGACACAAAGCATTTTCCCACTATAGGATATTTATATATTTAATAGTAGCCTAATGGGCAAAAAAATCACAAGAACTGAACAGGGTTGATATACAATGTGCAAATGCCTATATATAGTGATTAGGGAACATTCAATAGACCCATAAGAACTTTTTTAAACATTAAACTTTGAAATTAACAAAATGAGATAGATAGATTAGATAGATAGATAAAATAGATTAGATAAATAAAAAGACAGACAACTACTTTATTGATCCAAAAGAAACTCATGTAAATTTGCATCGGCTCAAGTTGTTGTCAGTGAAATAAAATCCACGATTGTATTGTACTGTTGTGTTTTTTTCTTTGTACCCGTGTAGCTCGAGGAGAAAGGAAACAAAGATGGCGGCTCATTTACAGCCCAATAAGCCGTGCCTAAAGGACCTGGAGGAGGATTACTCGTCAGTCTGCAGTTTAATGGAGATGATACTGAGAAAATACTTCTCTAATTACTGTATTATACGCATAATCCGCTAACATGGAGTAAACTGTACTATGGACTGCGGGGCATCTGGGCTAAAAGGGCTTTGGTGATTGTCTGGCGTAGCGCAAAGTGTAACAGTGCTGAAAATGTTCAAGCTGCATATTTACATGGATTAAAACGACGTGAATTCATAATATTAATCTTGAATTTAGTCATTTTGACCAGTAGATGTATTAGGTTGTAAGCAAAACTGACAAATGAAAACATCCCTATGACTATGTTATAGCAGTCCATCAGAATGTGCCACTTAAAGATGCACTGTGTAACATTACAAGTGGAGGGTCTGCCATGGAGATGTTGTTGTTTTGCCTGGAATTTTACACAGTATGACATTAAACTTGTCTGTTTCCATGGTGATAAGCCCATGCCAATTTGCCATGCCAAGAAGTGGACCTGCTTACAGTTTTTTTTTTAAGATTGTTTCATTATTAAAAAAATAAAAATAAAATAAATAAATAAATAATAAGCAGATTTAACTCCATACTGTAACACATTTCAGGCAAAGCAATCTCCCTAGCATACCTCCACGTGGATACAACCAGGTGCTGTATTGTCACCAGAAAAGTTATATGTTATGTGCACTTTTAATGTCTTGGTTGAGGTTCAAATACCACAAATAAAAGTAAACTGACTCCTACCTCTTTTTGAAGTAAGTACAAATTTAGTTGACAATTTAGAGTTTAACATTTTTAGGTGGAATAAATGAGCAAGGCTAGTGCTAAATTGTCATAGGCTTGTGCTAAATGTCACATGAATATATGAAAGACATTCTCCACATTTGAGAGACCTGTTATTGTTGACGAGTATGGTTTAAGTAGCAAAAAAAAAAAAAAAAAAAGCACAGTACCCTTGCATGTCGGAAAACAAAAGGGCAAAAACACACTTAGCATGTGTGCTGCCGTGCTGTTTGACTGTTGATGTGTATGTAAATGAGACGTGAGCAGCGCAGTTTTGATTTTGCTCCCACGCTGCCTCGTTCTCTATAATTGGGACACATCGCTGGTGGGGCAAATTGCACTAAATACAAGAATCTCTGTGTTTCTACAAAGTTGTTTGTGTTTATTGATGTGGAGCTTGTTGTTTTTGCTGTGTGTAGGATTTTTTTAAGATACAGTATGTAACTTTGTGGAGGTGAAACGTCCCCTACATGAGTCCATGAAAAAACAAAGTTAAAGTCATACTCCATTCTCCAGGGAGGTGGATACGTTTTACGCCATACCATGGAAGAATAGAGGAACAACATTTGCATGAAACCAGGCAGAAGGCAATCCTCCAGGCCAAGTAAGAGTCCAAGTAAAAGTGTACAACCAATTTGTCTATTTTTGCCTAAAAGGTTACATATTATGGCTTTAAATGTGTTTGTAACTTTTCTGTCATCTTATTCTGAGGTCAAATTGTAATCTTGTGACCCTATACTCTGCCTCTAAATACAGTAGATTACAAAATAAACAGTACTACTAGAATCAAAATGACCTACAATTCATACAAATCAAACAGAAAGTTATAAAAATATTGAATTTTCCTAGATTACATGTTGTCTGAGGGTGGACGGAACTTGGAGCAGAGCTGGGGTATAATTTGGGCAGCCGTGGCCTCCTCACAGGCACAGTGCTGCCTTCTGGACTTGATCCTTTTTGGGAGAGCAGTTTCAGACTAATCAGATGCAATCACATCAGCAGCGCCGTGTTACATAAAACACTATTTATGGCTGTATCACATTTCTCTTCCTCAATTTATCATCCTCCTTTATTTATGCCTGTCTATTACATGTTTCTTTTCAGTTCATATAAATTATGCTGTAGAGGAATTAGATGGATTTCAAAGGTTTCAAATTATGTGCTTGTAAAATGTGAGAATAAGATGTTGACTTTCTGCTTGCCTCTATGGAGATGCTATTGATTTACAGTGTGGCATTAAACGTCTGACTCCATGGAATAAATTAATAGGTCAGATCTGCGGAAAGGTGAGCTTAATCATAGTTAGAATGCTTTCAATGTAATTTTTCTAGAAAAAAAACAACAACAAAGAAACCAAAACTGAATGTATGCTTGATGGAAGTTTAAAGGTGCACTGTGTAACATTTCTAGTAGAGGGGTCCGTCACCTGCTTATCTCCATGGAAATGTTTATGGTTTATTTATTATATCCCACAGTGTAGAGCTGTTAAGTAACAATGTCACTTCCGGGTCCAACCAAAAATTTCACAGCTCATTTCTAGCTTTGTTTTTGTTCTTTCTTCGACAAATAAGAGCAGAGGCGGCACTACCTTTAGGCAAATGTAGGCAGCTGTGCAGGCCCCCCAAACCTGGAGGGGCCCGCAACCAATTGCCCTCGGTGTCACTAATGGCCGAAGCCTCAGAGCAATTTCATTTCTCTCAATATGGCTTTAAATGAGAGTAGTTTACGTTTAAACAATAATCATAAGACAAAAAAAATAATCATATGTAATGGATGTAGACAAAAATGTAATTGTAGTAGCGAAAAATAAAATTATTTTCAGTTCTGGTTATCTAGTAGGCTATGTAACTAATAAGACAAGTTTTTAAATAATTCAAATAAATAGAGATGTGGATGTCTCAAGAACAATAGGGGAAAACAGACAATAAATATATTAAAACAAAACAAAACAAAAAACATGCATTATAGTGAGG